GATTTAAAAAGAGTCTGATTTTTCATACTAATGTCCATATGGCAGATTTTCTTTCTTAATCTTATATTTTTGAAATCTGCTTGAGACTGTAACTTGAGACTAGCTTCAACAACCTGTTCTGCAGTAGTTGGGGAATATTGCATATGAAGAAGAGTTGAAGGTACTTCAAACCTGTTCTGTTTCCTCCTAATAACGATAAGTCCCAGTAATTTCCAACTGTGTATGTTTTGGCAATTTTCATTATGAATATGGCATCTACCACATTTCATTAGATATTAATTTAAAATGTTTTTCAAGGATTCCCTTATTTTTTCATTATCGGAATTGGATGCATCAAAAGATTTTTTAAAATAAAGAATTTAAAAATTAAGACTTAGTGATTAAGATAAGATAACCTTTATTGTCATTTTTTTACTGTGGGCACAACGGCACACATCAAAAATGAAATTTAGTTGCCTGCTCTCAAAGTGAAACACATACATGACACACACCTAAACATACTATATACAACATATGTATAGACCCACACCCCTACATATACATAACAAATAAATATTAAATACTGTCCATCTTGAGTATATAACGGAAAGAGGAAGCTTGAGAGTTCACAAGGTTAATGCTGTATGGAATGAAACTATGGTAATTCTTAAACCATGGCACCTGGAGTGGCCTAAAATAATAGCAATAGTACTTAGACTTACATATCACTTCAAAGTGCTTTACAGCCCTCTCTGAGTAATCTACAGAGTCAGCGTATTGTCCTCAACAATCTGGGTCCTCATTTTGCCAATCTCGGAAGGATGGAAGGCTGAGTCAACCTCAAGCCCTGTCAGGGTCAAACTCTAGACTGTGGCCAGAGTTAGCCTCTGGTACTGCATTGTAACTATTGCATCACCACAGCTCCTGAATAAGTTTGAGATATTATAAACATATTAAAGTAAACAGTCATTCATCAGAAAACTGAATTAAAATGAAATAAATTGCTTTATTTTAGCTAGTATCAATAAATGAAATAATTCTACTAAAATTCTATTAAAAATAGACTATGGAGAAGCATTTTTCTAAAAGGATGTTACACTGAATAAGGGAGAATATACATGTCCCAGAATAATGTTGCAGGACCCAATTTGGGTCGGCCACCAGAACCAGAGGTTTTGTCTTCCGAGCTTTCAAACTCGTGCTGGAGCCCATCCTTAGGGAACATCTCTGTGTGCTTTGGTCTGTTCTGCGTGTGGCATTTATATGGTGCCTGCCAGCATGAGTCCAAAAGTTTGGAAGACAAAACCTCTTCAGTACTACAGTATCATCAGCTAATAGGAACATTGCTTTCTGTCAGATAAGGTGATACGTTTCTTTTGATAGCTGCTATCATACAGAACATGAGTAAACATCCATCCCCTTCTAAATTGATATTGTTGAATTAAGTGCTTATAAGCTGTTTCAGAAGGAAGAATGAGAAAAATCAAGTATTTGATTATTTCTTGTATAAGCCCTTGAAAATGTAAATAATAGGTTTGTGGAACTGATTCAATAATTTTATTTTATCTTTTCTAGTACGAGGGCAATTCGGAAATAAACCTCTGTTATCAATGACAGACCCTTGCAGATACAGACATTTTATTATACACATTAGAAAACTACAACATTACATTACAATTACAACAACAATAATAACAATAACATGATGATGATGATGATGATGATGATGATAAAGTTGGAAGGGACCTTAGAGGTCATCTAGTCCAACCCCCTGCTCAGGCAGGAAATCCTATACCGGGGTGTCAAACTGCCAGCCCGTGGGCCGGATGTGTCATGGCAAAACCACACCCACCCCATTGCCAACAATGGAAAAAAAGTTGTGATACGTCGCGACACATCACGTGACATTGCGAGTTTGACACCCCTGCCCTATACCATTTCAGACAAATGGCTGTCCAGTCTCTTCTTAAAAACCTCCAGTGTTGGAACATTCACAACTTCTGGAAGCAGGTTGTTTCACTGATCAATTGTTCTAACTGTCAGGAAATTTCTCCTTAGTTTTAGGTTGCTTCTCTCTTTGATTATTTTCCATCCATTGCTTCTTGTGGAAACTAATCAAAGAGAGAAGCAACCTATATTTTTCGATATAATCTCCATTCAAATTGAGGCACTTGTCATAACGTCTTACAAGGTTTTAAATTCCTTAGTAGTAGTCACTCGGTGCCAAATCTGAGCTATGGGGGGGGCGTGATTAAAAACATCCCAACAGAACTGCTTCAGAAGTTCTTGGGTGCGTCTAGCAGTGTACAGGCAAGCATTATCATGAATCAACTCCACACTGGAAGTCAGCATGCCCCAACACTTGTTATGGATGGCTAGTCTGAGTTTTCGTAACATTTCACAGTAGACTTCTGAATTGATGGTTGAACCATGCTCCATGAACTTCACTAGCAGTACTCATTTGGCATCTTCACATTTGGCAGGATTTTCTATGGCACCACTTCCAGTGTGTTGTTGGCTCACGATAATGCTCGCCTGCACATTGGTAGCAGTTCTGTTGGGATGTTTTTGATAAATAGATGAATATTTTTGATTTGTATCTTATTTGAGTATATACATTGAACTGAGAGATCAGGAGAAGGGGAATAGAAAAATCTTAACCTTTTAATTTGCTAAACACTCTAAAAATTGGTTTTATTTTTGCTAAGGAAAACCTTCAAGGTATCTTTGAATATTTTCTTGACTTTCATAGAATACAATAAAAAAAAACCAAAAATACCCATGACAAAAACCAACACCTGAAATGTGTGGGCATGTATATGTATGTGTGTGTTTATGTAGAATACAGATAGTCCTTGTTTAGTGATTGCATTGTTTAGTGACCATTCAATTACAGTAGTGATTTAAAAGAAGTAACTGTATGATCAGTCCTTGCTTTTATACCCTTTGCTGGTCTGTAAAGCAATGGAAAGCTGAAGTAAGATCACAAGTGGTTTTATTTAGAGACCTTTTTGTTTGACAACCAAGTAGACAGTCCCAATTGTGATTGCTAAACAAGAATTACCTGCAATGTGTAGAGTTACTTGCTGACAAGACAGCTTCTCATGTAATAGCTTTATATTTTAAGCTATTTTTAAGGTTTTTTTTTAAAAAAAATCTTGTTTAAATGCCATTTAAATTTCATGTATAAGACAGAGTTAGGCATTTAATTTTCGTGTGTATGCTCATTGAAATAAACATTTTTGTTTCTGTCTCTTTTTTCCTTTCTTCCATTAGAGTTCAGGTCTACATTTCCGACATACTGATAATACGGTACAGTGGTTACGGGCAATGGAATCTATTGGTCTACCGAAGGTATGCATTTGAAAGCCGTTGGTAAAGTACTTGTTAAAATAAGGAAGTGTATTTAAATAGGATACAAATTTGGTTTGTATTAAATAAAACCATTGACTCATTTCTAATCTAGACTAACAGTAATAGCTAGAAATATTGTGAAACTGGATATAAATGTGCTAAGGATTGAACTAGGGATTTTTTGCACATTAAACATTCCCATTCCAGTTACCTATAGTTTTCCCCTAACTACCTGAAGAACTAACTGAATAACTGACATAGAGGAAGGAAGGACTGAGTGAAAAAGTTAAAATGGCTATACTGTCAAATCACTGCCTATTTTATCCAGTATTGTTATGACCAGAAAAAAATTAATTAGAAATGGTCATCTCCTATGCCTAATTGCAAAAGCAAATATTGTACTATAGAGTTGTCATTTTTTGAAAAAAGATAATACACACCAATCGATTACTATTTATCTTACATGACTTAAAATTCTACTTAGAATTATAGTTGGACTTAGAACAAACTCTTAGCCATGTCTGACTCCCATGATTAAGTCCCTCATTAACTGTTGGTACAATTGCGTGCAGCCCATTTTTATATGAGGTACAAAAGTTGGCCATTTAAATTTGGCTAGGATATGTTGTTTAATATAGATGCCAATTTTACATTCTGAAATATTAGAACAAACACAAAATAATATTTTGAGCCATGCTATAACTATAATCTTATATGCATGAATTCCTCCCAGGCAAGATCTGGGAAACAGTTTTTATTTCAGAATTATTCAAACACAATGAAACATTATTAAAGTACATAAAATATATTGTATTAATCATACTTTGTTGAATATATGACAGAGGTTAAATTTATATATAATACTAAGCCAATGGCCCACTGTACATATCTTGTTAAAGAGAAGAAAATAACATTCTGTGGGAACTGAGCCAATATCAGTTTATGTTGACTTGTCAACATTCCATATCTTTCAGGTTTTTTTTTAAAGAGTTGAGGATGGTATTTTGATTTGACGAAGTAGGCGGAAACTATTCATCTAGGCCCAGAAATAAATAGTTGATTAGAACCTATTACTGTCATATTTATCTGTGGAATTTTGTGATATTTCTTTGAATGCAATGGTTAATGAAATTAATAGTGATATGTTATTCAGATTTATCATTACTTCATTTAAGATGGCTATCCATAGAACAGATATTTTACATCATTAAATACAAATATATCTAATACAATATGATAGGATACAATAGGAGATTATATGCATAATGACACACAACGTAAAGTGCAAGTATAATAAGCTGGATCTTAGAAAATTCAGACTACAGTGCTTATCGGGAGATTAAACCTTCTTCCCAGTGGACTTTATTTTTGAGTAGTAGTGTTTACATTTATTGGACACCAATCCTCCACTGAGCAAGAATTTGTTTCCTATGTCAAAATGTACCATTGATCCTCTGCTTTAACATATTAGTAGCTAAAATCTGAGTAATATTACATATTTGTTAACTGAAATGCTTTTCATCCTTAGATTTTCTACCCAGAGACCACAGATGTTTATGATAGGAAAAACATACCTCGTATGATCTATTGCATTCATGCATTAAGGTAAAACAGATCTGTGCTGAATTTCTAAGATTTTTTTCATATCTTTCTTTTAAAAAGTTTGCAACAAAGCCTAATTACTTCATAGTTATGAACCATAGTTAAGTCAGTTTAATTCAGTTAAACTGTTAAGAATAAAATTCTGTTCATATTTAATTCTGTAGTATTACTTCATAATATTAATTTCAAAAAATAAAAACTGGGTCAATTTGAGAATGAAAATAATCCAACTTCCCAACTTCTCTCTCTACTGTATATATTTAAACTGTGTTTTAATTATGGAAACCTGTAAAACTGGCTTTTGTGATCTTTGATTACTTATTCACTAATGCCCTATTTCAAGTTTATGCTATTGTGTACATAATAAGGTTCAGCAGCATACTCAAACAATTTTCTTTAAAATTTGGATGTCATAAATGGAATCCTGTTGTTTCTATAGAATTTACTATAATTCAGAAAATACTGTGTTTAAGTACTATGTGCAAAAAAAATTCTACATTCATACTCAAATTAGTATGTGATAAATATTCATTTAAACATTACTGTACAGGAAATTACAGCTAGTGCTCACAGCTGAGATCAGCAATTCAATCAGTAGGCAACATGGTTGTAAAGTAAAACATTACATGACTGTGCCTGACTTACAATGTCAGTTTGTCAGCTTCAGCTATGATCATTAAACAAATCACCATTGTTAAGTGTGAGCACCACTTGTGACTTTCTGCCAGCTTCCCCACTAACTTGGTTTGTCAAAAGCAAATGACTATTTGAAGACTGCAAATGGTGATCACATGAGGACCCTGCAATTGGCATAAATGTGTACCAGTTGTCAAGCACCCAAATCGCAATCATGTGTTTGTGGAGACACTGCATGAGCCATAACTTTGAGGATGAGTTATAAAGTCTCCTTTTTAATGCCATCAAAACTTTAGTCTCTAAGTGTTCAGAAAGCTGTAGTTGAGAGTGGTAGAGATGTAAATTATTGATTTTTATATATGTAACACAATGCCCATATGAAAATGAAGTGGATTCCTCCTCTCACAGCATGTAGTATTTTGGTTTTGATAGCTGCATCCTATGCAGGCTTCCATCTGAGCATGGAAGAGCAATAAATCTCAAGTAAGTTCTTATCTAGACAGATATTATTTGTATAGTAAATCTCTTTCTGGAATTTTAAAGAAGATTCTTGGGTCAAGTCATCATTTTACCATCTTTAAATGAATTAGGATAGAGAAAATTTTGGACAGGTGACTGAGTACCACCTTTATGAATAGTTCTAGGGGAAGGAAAATTACTGGGCATAGATTGATGTGAGACAAACTACATGGGCAGGTCATGTATATTATTGGGCCAAATTTCATTGGTTTTTAGTGTCACTCATTCAATTTTGGAACTCTTTAAATTTGTATGTTTGTTTTCTTGCTAAATCGTGTTATTAATATAACTATGCAAATCTGGTTACTGAGCTTGTTAAATATGTGTGTAAGATGAAATTGTTTTACAAAGTTAACATGTAGGACTCCAAAAAGTAAATATTTTTAGAATGAAACAATTCATAACAAAATGATGCTAAATTCTACCCTAGTGATATCATAATCCATGGTCACAAATTCTATAGAATGTTGAACACTGGGAGGCTTTGAGATATTTATATCTCTTAGATTACTAAAGATGCCTTAAGTGATTTCTAGACTTATAAAAACATAGATATGAAGATCTTCACATGTCAGTTTTCCAGGTAGACCAGATAGTCTCCTTTACAGGCTTGAGAACCTAGGGAAGGTCCTAATCTAACCCTAACACTAGGGAAGGTCCCTTCTGATCTTTCTTTGTCCATTAGACAGCTGATGCTGTGTCCTCTGTTACCTGACCGTTCCCTAGGCAGCATTTACCTGTACATAATTTCAAGGAAAACTACTTTTCCATGTGTTTTAACTCTATCCTTTCCTCCCAAGACAATGTCTATTAATTGGATATTATTTAGAATACATCAGTCTGAACCATCAGATGAGTGATAGAATAATTTAATGTCTTGCTGCAGTCTAAATTCTTCTGCTAGGAAACACAAACACTTAATTTTAAAGGAACCTAGTCTCAGGTACTATATTTTGGTGATTTGTTTATTGATTTGTCTTACATTCATGTAAATATTGTTGTCTCAAATGTAAAAATTATCTTTGTTGAAAATTGTGTTTTTAGCTGGTAAACTCTTCGGAATTTTAAAAGATTTCAGTTATTTCACTTGTTATTTTAGTTTTGGGAGATGGCTGCCCACAATAGAAATTCCACAGAAAAGTGTTTTTGTCTCCCCCCCCCCCCACCTGTGTGGTGGTTCCACTGCTAACATAAAGCCAAATCTGTATCTTGAGCTGAAGAATCAACAGTTTAGAACAGTGGTGGCGAACCTATGGCATGGGTGCCAGAGGCAGCACTCAGAGCCCTCTCTGTGGGCACACGCGCTGTTGCCCCAGTCCTAAGCCTTCAGCTGGGTTTTATAAAACCTTTTCGCTTTAGGCCTCCACCACCATGTGCAAAAAAAAAGGGGGGGGGTTCAATCAATCAGTCAATTTCAACTTCTCGCGGGAAAAAAAAATCTTGGAATCGATTGATTGAACTTTTTAATCCCACTCAGTCTGCCATTACCACCACAGCCACGGCCAGCCAATGGGCCACACCCACCTGGCACCTGCCGATGCATTAGTGGGTTTTGGGTTGCAGTTTGGGCACTCGGTCTCCAAAAGGTTCACCATCACTGGTTTAGGATATGCTTGATTACTTCAGTCTTTTGTATTCCAGGTTCTGGATCTAGTAACACTAGTTAAATGGGAAATCTGGAATCATTAATTGAAAAGCTTATTCCTGAATATGGGGATTTCCTATTCTGCATCATCCAGAAGAGTGTCACAGAATAAATATGTGCCCATGTAGAACTCCTTCTCCTGAGGGAAATAGATACATCCACACACTTCAGAACTCAGGTGGCCAGCAATGTGATGGTAGAAAACCCAGGAGTCCTCAGGGAGGACTGGTGCATGCATTGGTGAGAGATATCCTCCCCTCCTCTCTGCTGTACTGTCATAAAGTGATAAATTTGTGTGTGTGTATGAATAGAAACATTGCATGTTCCAAATCTGTTTCCCTTGCCTACTAGAGCATATGTATAACATATGTGAATGCAGAATAATCCTACTCTTCAAGGAATGATTTTACATTGAGATTTGAATATCAGATGCAACAAGTTATTACATCATCACAATGTCTAACAATGATAACATTATAAAATTCAAGCATGTACTTTTCTTTGTTTTTGAATATATAATTTTATGGTTAAAAACAACTTCAAAACTCAAATAATTTCAAATATATATTTGTGCCATGTTGTTGACTTGCGGCTTTGTTTAATATGAATTCTTTCTAAGGCTTCAAAATATTTTAAGACAGTTCATACTAGTAGTGTGTGATTATTAACATTCCCAACACAACTACAAATTCTGAAAATAGCAATTAATTAATAATTATCAGTAAAAATAAGAAAAGATTATATTACATAAGTATGATTTTATTTTATTTTATTAATAAAATAAAGCACTTCTAAAAGTGTGCTAAAGTGAATGTTTCTTATTGATAAAAATAGAATTCCATTGCCCTCTAGTGGTCCACAATACTTCTCCCCAATTTTCTTTTTCTCTCTAGCTATTAAATATTATGCTAACCCATGATAATCATAGCAGTTGTTAAAATGTCAAAATTGAATGTATTAATGACTAATTAAGGAACTTAATTGTGCCAATTAAAATAATTGCTGAACACTAGAAAGCTATGGAATTATTCACTGGTATTTTACTAAAAATCATTGGTTCTAAGTGTAATACAAAGCTGCTTTTAAAAATTGAAATCACAAGTAGAAAATGGATAATCACAACATGCCAAATTTAGGTTCATATGTTATCTATTAAATATTTAATATTCTTTGAATCCTAGAAAATTTTAAATTACTGGAAATCTAATTTTCCTAATATTTTCTGCTTCCAGAAATGGCTGTTTTCTTTTCATGTTTGCACCCTATGTTCTAACAGCTCGGCAAATCCACAGTTACATTTACTTACAGTTAGTATATAACTTCATGTTTGTCATCTCTTTGTTTTCATTCAGGTTCAACTTTTAAAATGTTAAGCTTCTCCAAATTAAAAAAAAATCTTCCTTTTATATCTAAAATATGCCTTGGCCAGTTTTGAACTGCTTTGACCCATTCTTTTATAGCAATTTTGATAGTCCCTTGGTTAATCTTAATAAATTTCCCAAATCCTTAACAGTTGTTAACTTCACATGGCAGCTTTGTTCAGCTGTTGTCCAGATGGTTCTACTATACACATTTTGGAATGGTAATTATATAGATTTTCAAACCTCCGAAATGAAATAGGATTTCTTAGAGTAATTTCTATAGTTTTAAGTTTATTGCAGATTCTTCAGAGATTGAAGAACTGAAATATAAACATTCAAAGGTATATATATGTGAAATAAATATTACTTTCACTGTTGAGGCAATATTTTATATATATTATTTTGAACTGTCACAAAGAAAGGAGATACAGAAGTTTTACAAATCCAATTTAAAAGTGTTTTGAAAAGTATGTAGTTATTATTATTTAAGAAAGCAACCATTTCTAACAAAACTTGCAGCATTGTATAAAGATCAACACATTCATTGTACAATAAACATAAATAGGCAATACTCAACTTTAGTTAATTACTCCTATTATATTTTTGCAATTTACTTTCTTTTTCTTTCTCTCCCTCAGTTTATATTTGTTTAAACTAGGAATAGCTCCACAAATCCAGGATTTGCTTGGAAAAGTAGACTTTACAGGTACTTTTAATCTTTAACTTTTTTGTATTGAGGAAATTTCATTTTTTGAAGCTTCCACTAATTCCTTAATTGGTTAACAGTGTTCTTCTACACTTCCATCATTCTTTGTGTTTTTGTGCTGAAGTGGGTGTAAAGTAGCTATGTAAAAAATGTGCTGTATTTTACAAAGAGATGCCGAATAACAAACACTACAGTTATGTGTGCTACAGTATTTCCCATATAGAAAAAGGAGATAAGAATTAGAGGAATAATGTTTGTCTCATTTGTGTAAGTATATGTCATGCTTGATTTTGTCAGTTAATAATCTGGACAGGTTTTTTTTCTTGTATTGAAATTTCTTTTTTTCTTTCTTTTTTCTTCCTCTTGTCACGAATATTTAGAGGAAGAAATAAGTAATATGCGGAAGGAACTGGAAAAATATGGTATACAGATGCCATTATTTAATAAAATTGGAGGACTCTTGACCAGTGAGCTTTCATTGGATGAAGCTGCATGTAAGTTCCCCAAAATGTTGGGAGATGCTGTACTAACCTGTTTCCTAAAAGAGGATGATATTCCTGAAAGCTGCTTTAACTTTAAATATGAAGTGACTATCAAATTTACCAAGTAACTAGAACAAGGGCACGAAGTACTTGTTTTTGCAACTAGCTATTTTAATGTGTTATGAACTTTTTAAAGATTTACATATTTTAAAATTTTGTTTGCTATCCACATTGTGAGTTAGAAGCAGCACATCAAAAATTAGAAAAGTATCATTAACCATATAATAGCATTCAAAATAGTTAAGCTTCAAAATGTAACTACCAAGGAAAAAAATAACAAACCCTTCATCTAATTGTTTTCTAATGATCTCTTGGGATAGTTTTTTCTGTTAGTTTAGCTATGTATATTTGTAGCCTAAAAATGAAACAGGAAAGGAATAAGGGTTTCATTCAAATATCCATACCTTCGATATTCTGGTGAAGCATTTTTATTTAGATCAGGAGTCCCCAACCCCTAGGCCTCAGCCCACTACTGGACCATGAGCCATTTGGAACCGGGCCACAGAAGCAGCAGAAGAGCATGCACATTCCCACTTGCATGAGCACTGGACAACCACATGCACACACATTATATTTACGCAAGCAGCAGGTGCATGGGTCTGCTGTTCACACAAATGGAGCTGTGCATGCACTTACCAGTTGCTCGTTTGGAACTATCCCCGGTCTGCAAAGCCAGAAGGTTGGGGAACTCTGATTTAGGCTGTTCTGATTTTTTTAAAAAAAAAACTTTTGAGTATGCCTTTACATATTCCCCTTTTGCTTGCTGTCTGTTTTGTATGAAACGAGACTATTAAATAGAAATTGTGGAGAAAGCAAATTGTAAAAGTATGATAGCTAATAACAAACATTTTGGAAATTTTAATTCACTGAGACTTTTATCTTTAAATATTGAACTATTATTCTGAGTTATTCTTTTTTTCAGTGCATGCTGCAGTTATTGCAGTTAATGAAGCTATTGAGAAGGGAATTGCAAATCAGACTATCAAAACATTGCAAAATCCTAATGCCAAGTTAGTAAATGTGGATGATAATTTTGCCCATGAATATCAGAAGGAACTTTCTGGAGCAAAAAAGAAAAAACAAGAGAATGCAAAACTTAAGGTGAAGAAATAAATTATTTATTATTAACTGTATGTCATAGAATAATTAAAACATTGTCTTAAATATGCAAGTTTGTAAAACTTAAAATGTCAAATTTATCAATGCTAGTAAATAATTTTTTGCACATAAAACAAGTTTGTTTTATTTGTATGCCATGTAATTGCCCAAAAGATCAATCTTATCACATATTAATATATTAATAAATGAGGAAAAAATGCCTGTACAAAAATACATAAAAGAATCAAACAAAATAAAAAAGATAAATCTAAATTTAAAACAGCGTTTCCCAAAATTAGGAAGTAGACCTGCTGACTGGTATATTCCTGGGGTGTGGTGATATGGGAAGAAATAATAGCCTGGCCTCAAAAGGTACCTGGAAGAATAAAGCATTAGCTAATTTGGGTTGGTTCCTTTTTTCCTCTCTAGGAAAACATACCTTGAATGCAAATAGGGAGGGGGCGGAAAATTTACAAAAATGTCTTAGACAGATGTTTTCTGTCTGTCTTATTCACATGACTATAAAAGAGGGAGAAGGAGAATCAAAACTAGGCTTGTAAGATTTTATTACTATAGCCAATCTAAATAAAAGTACAGTATGAAAAGTCTATTTCTTACTCTGGTCTTATTCTGGCGTTCCAGGTAGACCTGGTAGGGCTGACACTTATTAAGATGAGATTAAGTAACAAAGTTTATTTTTCAAGACTTGGAATCCTCAGAGAATATTTTAAAAAGGAGGCCCATTTACCAATTCTGCTGTGCCAAAGGTGTAATAAAGATTAAGAAATACAATATAGACTGTTCAATTTATATTCCAATTTGGTTCAGTATAGAAAATTTAAAATATTAGAATGGTATAAAAAGATATTAGTTTTAAAAACTGAATATATCTTTACATTATATAATATTTTTTTGAATTTATCACTAATCTCTATGTAAAGAATTACATTATTCTACATAGGGAAGGGGTAGCAAAGAAAATAATTATTCATACAGGAAAGATAGTTACCTTAGATTTATTTTTGAATTATAGATAAATGTTCACTTTCTGTTGATAAAGTGACTATTGATATAGTGAAAAGACTGAGGAATATTATAACTTGTGTTTGAAAAGTAATTATTTCTTTCTAAATTCAGTCAAAATATATCTTTGTGTGTTACATGCTTTTGTATGTGAGTTTTCCTCCCGTATGTGTTCACCACCTCCTTTTTGAAATCAGGAATAACTCTGTCCTTCTTTCTGTGATGGTAATTGTTGCTTTTAGAGTGACTCAATTTTGGAAGAGGAAAGAGATGTATATGAAGAATTGCTTACACAAGCTGAAATCCAGGGAAACATCAATAAGGTCAACCGTGAGTATTCTTCCCTCTTATGAAAACATTGATCCCTGACATAACCACTCTTAATATTAGTGGGAAGTACCAGTATGTATTATTTTCTCACACTGGCATAGATTATTATTTCATCAGTAATATGTCAATCTTTCAGAGATTTTTTGCTGTTAATAGTACTAATTCTGGACAAGGACATTCTTCTTTGCCCTTTTGCATTCTCAATAACAATAGAAGCATTATGATTCTAGTCTGCTTTACCTACTTTTTCTCCTCTTCTGCCAGCTGCAAAGTTCTGTAAATTTTGACCCCTCTTACATGTTGCATTTTAGTGTTGGATTTAAGAAGTGTCTATTCTGAAGTGTCCTTGCATGCTTGCCCAGCAGGATTTGATGCAAGTTCTCTTAAACAACTGCATGTATCAAACGGCTAAAAGAAAAAAAGAACCTTTATAATATTTTGCTTTCTGTAAGCACTGTTTTCCTTTCAGTTCACATAGCTTTAGCCCAAGTGAATGAGGCTATTGACATGCAAGATGAAGTGGCACTAATGGCAGGCTTGAACAACCCAGCTCTGAGCCTGCTTGAAGTTCTGCTGCAAAATTCCTCCTGGTACCTAGCACAGTTATTTGATACTAAAGAGCAGAGAACACAGGTAACTGATTATAACGTGCTAGAGTGACACCGAAATCGCTTAACTTTAAAGTGTGATTTCAGTCTTGATACTTAGGCCTTCTTACAAATAGAAAAGAGGGGATTTCAAAATACTTTATATATAATATTGCAATAATTTACTCTTAATTTAACTTGGAAACATAGTATTTTCTAAGGTTAGATATAAACAGAGAAAAATCTAACTTAATTTGAAAAAAGTCAAAATTGTCTGTTCTAAGAAATATTTCTATTTGCTTTATGAAAGGGCACCATATTTTTTATAAGGACAGCCTAATATTAATGTCCTTAAAGCTGGTATCCACCTAATAGTTTTGATTATTATAGTATTGATTACTTATTTGCCTTTTAATTAAAATGCAGTAAGAAATGTTTTCCCCCTAATCTGTTAGATAGCAGGGGTTCCAATTATCCTCGACAAAAATGAGATACAGAATGAAGTTAGTGTTGCCAATGAGGAATCAGACTCTCACAAATTTAGTGAGTAACTTGTTAATTTTCACTTATAACTTCACCTCATGGTAAAATTTAAGATTAAGCAGTTATAGTGATAAAATATGAATCCAATTATATTTTATCTAAGCTAGTTCCATGGTGCTTTTTGTCATTTTTGCTTTGTTGTCACATTGGTTTCATTATTTGGTTCAGTAGCTAATTCCCCCCCTCCATACACACACTATTGTGTTCTTAATCCAGTTCAGTTACTGGGTTAATTACACTTTGCCGCATAACAGATAGAATTTACTTACCCATCTCAGTTATTTTGTATTATTAAGTTAGTGTGGCAACAAATAGAATTTTGAAAGTATGGCATGCTTCTATAATATATTACTTAAAAGGGAATATGCGTAATTTATAGTTGAAGTTCTTTTTCTTTGAACACTATGTTTAAGAGGGTTCTAAATTTGCAGTTGCCTTTCTGTCAATTGCTCTTTGCTTCTTGAGATATTAGAGATTTTCTTCTAGACGTTGATTTGAGCTCACTTCATTTCATGCTTTCTTTGTTTAACTTAAGAGCAATTTATTCTCCATAATATTTGAATTGAATTCTTGAACATAATCATTTTTGCTTGTTATATATGCATAAGTTGACTTATTGAGCAGAATTTCTTTAGAGGTAGATATTTTTTATTTGCATGTCTGTATTTTGTTCCATTATTTTGAAACACTAAATGAAAATATTAATTATGTAAAGAAAACCATTAGTTTATCAAGTGTTGTTCTTCAGTCTAAGAATGTAATTATATTACATGGAGTGGGTTATCCAGTAGAGCCTTATATATTTGGAGTAATCAAAGCACACGTGCAATAGCTCTTGCCTGATATAATTTCCCATTTACTTCAGCATCTACAGTGGGGCAAAAAAGTATTTAGTCAGCCACCAATTGTGTAAGTTCTCCCACTTAAAAAGATGAGAGAGGCCTGTAATTGTCATCATAGGTAGACCTCAACTATGAGAGACAAAATGAAAAAACAAATCCAGACAATTACATTGTCTGATTTGGAAAGAATTTATTTGCAAATTATGGTGGAAAATAAGTATTTGGTCACCTTCAAACAAGCAAGATTTCTGGCTCTCACAGACCTGTAACTTCTTCTTTAAGAGTATCCTCTGTCCTCCACTCATTACCTGTATTAATGGCACCTGTTTGAACTTGTTATCAGTATAAAAGACACCTGTCCACAACCTCAAACAGTCACACTCTAAACTCCACTATGGTGAAGACCAAACAGCTGTCAAAGGACACCAGAAACAAAATTGTAGACCTGCACCAGGCTGGGAAGACTGAGTCTGCAATAGGCAAGCAGCTTGCTGTGAAGAAATCAACTGTGGGAGCAATAATTAGAAAATGGAAGACATACAAGACCACTGATAATCTCCCTTGATCTGGGGCTCCACGCAAGATCTCACCCCGTGGGGTCAACATGATCACAAGAACGGTGAGCAAAAATCCCAGAACCACAAGGGGGGACCTAGTGAATGACCTGCAGAGAGCTGGGACCAACATAACAAAGGCAACCATCAGTAACACACTACACTGCCAGGGACTCAGATCCTGCAGTGCCAGATGTGTCCCCCTGCTTAAGCCAGTACATGTCCGGACCCGTCTGAAGTTTGCTAGAGAGCATTTGGATGATCCAGAAGAGGATTGGGAGAATGTCCTATGGTCAGATGAAACCAAAGTAGAACTATTTGGTAGAAACACAACTCGTCATGTTTGGAGGAGAGAGAATGCTGAGTTGTATCCAAAGAACACCATACCTACTGTGAAGCATGGGAGTGGCAACATCATGCTTTGGGGCTGTTTCTCTGCAAAGGGACCAGGACAACTGATCCGTGTACAGGAAAGAATGAATGGGGCCATGTTTCGTGAGATTTTGAGTGCAAACCTCCTTCCATCAGCAAGGGCATTGAAGATGAAACGTGGCTGGGTCTTTCAGCATGACAATGATCCCAAACACACCCCCTGGGCAATGAAGGAGTGGCTTTGTAAGAAGCATTTCAAGGTCCTGGAGTGGCCTAGCCAGTCTCCAGATCTCAACCCCATAGAAAACCTTTGGAGGGAGTTGAAAGTCCGTGTTGCCCAGCGACAGCCCCAAAACATCACTACTCTAGAGGAGATCTGCATGGAGGAATGGACCATCATACCAGCAACAGTGTGTGCCAACCTTGTGAAGATTTACAGAAAACGTTTGACCTCTGTCATTGCCAACAAAGGATATATAACAAAGTATTGAGATGAACTTTTGATATTGACCAAATACTTATTTTCCACCATAATTTCAAATAAATTCTTTCCAAATCAGACAATGTGATTATCTGGATTTGTTTTCTCATTTTGTCTCTCATAGTTGAGGTCTACCTATGATGACAATTACAGGCCTCTCTCATCTTTTTAAGTGGGAGAACTTGCACAATTGGTGGCTGACTAAATACTTTTTTGCCCCACTGTATCTCAGGTTGCGAATGTATCAGAAAATTAGTTGCATTTGCTGATTTTAATGTAATATGTTAAGAATAGAATTTTAAAAACCGCTGTTTTATTTTGAAGAGAAAACTAACTTCTGTCCTTTATAGTAATCCAGCTCTCACATACAAATTAATATTGAGTTGGTCACTTTTCTTATCTCCTTGATCTTTGATTATATAATTTTAAAAAGAAGCATTAGATTATGCTTCTTAAATTTAAAATAACCAAAGGTCAAAGAAATAAAATTATTTTAATTAAATTATTTCATAAAAACCTGTCAAATTAGTCAATTAAATATAAAGTATAAGCTTGCATGGTTAGGAGCACCTTTCGCTTAGAATATTTTTTTTTAGATTTTTTTTCCTTTTGGTAGTTTTCAACAAATTTCTGTGGCATAATTAGCTTCAAACAAAAGACTTAACAATTTTCTTCTTCTATATCATTAGAAATACCAAATATACAATCTATATAGTAGTATGCAGTGCAACAGGGTTAACTGGGTTTTCGGATATTTCTATTTTTTGACACTAGAACTTATTGCAGTTGACAATATTAACATTGCAATTCGTAACTGTGACTCAAACATGACAATTGCTGCTTTAATGAAACCTGAAGCCCAGTTACCTGAAGTTTACCCTTCTGCTGCCTCTGTCTATCAGACTGAACTCTTCAATCTTCAGCAACAGAATGCTATGGTAAGATGGAAGCTGTTTGAATATGTTCCCAAACCCAACTTGTTGGAAAATAGATATACTAAATATCTATAATTTCGTCTGTGACTTTTAAACACGCACTTTCTGCAAAGACTTGTATTAATTCTTGGTTGTCAGTGTGTTTGCACAAACATGTATTCAATTTAGAAGATAGATTAAAAAAAAAATACCAGATTTTTGAAATGGGTAGGTTTGTTTCTAAAGTCATATGTAGTCCTAACTTAATAGTTCTGTTCTTGTACCAGGCTTTATCTCACAAATTTTGGTCAAAATTAGCTGACTAATTTTGCTGCTGATTTTAACGTACCAAAATTTCCTTCAGTTTAGGATGGACTTGGCATCCCTGATAGCTTAGTCTTTGGTCATCATGACCAACCTTAAGAAATCCTTTCTTTACTATTAATAGTTGGTCACCAATGTTTTTCTATTGCAGAGACCTTGTCAGGCCTCTTTCTATTTCAGATTTTGCTCCTTGCAGGTCAGCAGTTGCTCTATATTCGAACAATTTAGCTGTTGTAGCTGGGAGGCAATATGTGCTTTCAAAGCAGTTGTTCTTACAACAGGATTGATTTTCCTAATTTTCCTGTCAAAATTAATACAGAGAAGGAAAAAAGGAAGAAGGGTAAAAAAAGATGATATGGAGTGTTTGAAGAAAGGATAGCATGGAGAGAAGCAAAGAAAGAGAGTAAAATGCCTATAAAAGAATTTGCTTGTTCATTGATGTTTTGTTAATAAAATAAAAATGAAATAAAATTAAAATATATATGTAATTCAGAGAAATATGCAAGCTAATAATTATTTTATTTTCTGATAGTTAAAGTTAGGCTTTCTTAATTTTTTTTAGGAATTCTAATTTTGAGTAAGCAAAACTTGACGTCTAATGTGTACTGTGAATGAAAATAATTCTCAAATGTCTATTGAGGCAATATTTAGGTCAGTTAAGATGTTTGCAAATTATATGTAAGTTTTTGCATTTCTACAATGAAATTTAAAAGCTTACATATTATTTTGTAAAATGCACTTTGCTTATTAGATGTATTACTTTAATATTGGTACTTAGATTTTTCAGGGTTAAACCATAACTCATTTTTTTACATATTGAAAACTTTGTTTTCTTACTGATCTGAATATATTTCTACAGAAATACTTAGCTCATGATGAACTGTCTATTGCTGTTGAAATGCTCTCAGCTGTCGTGCTGTTAAATCAGGCTTTGGAAAGCAAGAACATAGAGGCAATAAAAGCACACCTCAGCAACTCATCCATTGGCTTTAACAATGTGGAGGAAGAGAACTTGCAACGGTAAAAACATTAATTACAGATGTATTTCTGTGACTTATTTACCACTTATATTTTAAGAAGATTGTTTAATTACACAAATTCTATAATTTAATGTTGCTTTACTGTGTGGAATTGTTCATTAAACTATGATAATCTTTTAGCTAATCTAATTCTAGGTTACAGTACAAAACAAACAACTTTTTAATTATTTCTTCACAGTTGTGCTGACACCTTGCTGTCTATTAAATTAGAGGCTTTGTCTCAAGGACAACAATATTTAAGCTGGAATGACATCCAGAACTGTATTGATATGGTTAATACACAAATTCAAGAAGAAAATGATAGTAAGTATTCTGGTACATTTAACTGTTGGTTCATACATTTCAATAATAAAATACTGATCAGTGTATAATTTATGCTAAATAGCATTAATTTATTAACAATACTCAGTTCGTTTAAAAAAAAATTACAGGATTGTGAGATTGCAAACCATAACAACAATTGGTCAACCAAAAAATACATGTTAAATGTTTTATAGTGTGTTGGCAGAAAAAAACCTCTCCCTTTTATTTATTGAATATAGGGAAGATCATCTTCACTTCCACTACCAAACCCATTTAAAAAACAGTTTGGAGAGAATTCAGTTATAGTGGCAGACTGTTTTATTAATGGTAGACTTCCTATGCTTCAAATAAATTGAGCATCTTTGTTCCAAAAATAGCATAAAGTCATGCAAGTGTTAATCTAGCTTTTATTGTTAGAATCAAGCAGATAATGTACAGATGTTCTGCAGATATTTGGAGAATTAGGCCAAAAAAATGGGTTTCAAATTGCTCTTCCTCAAGTTATAGTTCACTCATTTATATTCTCATATTGATGGCCAATTAAAATTGCTTAAGACTACCAAGTAATTTTGATATGCTTCTTTCAACCAGCCATTCTTAAATAAAAGTATATTTTCATGTATTTTAAAAATGTAACAATTAAAAACTGAATAATAAATGTGGAATTAGTTTAAAACACTTTGAATATTGATACATAACTACAGTTAAATTTCTTTAATAAGATAATAACTATACACTTTTTTTTTTAGAAATTTTGGCAGTGGGTTTTATTAATGAGGCTATTGATCGAGGAAATCCAATAAGAACACTAGAAACCCTGCTGTTTCCCACAGCAAAATTGCAGAATGTAAAAGAAGCAAATGCCTGGCATTATCAAGCAGTTCTGAACAATGCAAAAACACGCAAATGTCAGGTAGACAATTTTCAGTACTTTTTTCCTATTTTGTCAAAGTTTTTGATAATTCATTGCAATTATTTATTACAATATATTGATGGCATCTCTGGAAGATGTAAATCTCCTATAATCTCTCTCCCTCAAAATGTAGACAAAACAATTTGTTTCTGCATATTCTGTGGAGTTTTGGGGTGCTAGGGAGTTATGAATTGTCCTCAGCTTGACATTTTCAAATATCTAATTGTCTTCTCAGTAATGAATTTGAAGAGACTATGAGGTCTGTTATGCATTGTTTAAATAATATTGTACCAGTATCACAATTTTAATAAAATTCTTAGGATTGGCTTTTTAAGAATTTGCACAATGGATTTGGGGGTTACTAAAAAATTCCTTGCATCTTTGTGGATGTTTCATTCTGTAACAGATATATGCTTAGGTTAAGGTGGTGATCTGAGAATGGGCAGTTTGTAATCTTACACATAACTCAACCCTGCTTTACACCCATGCCTAGAGTGAGGGAAAAATTTATTTGATCCCCTGTTGATTTTGTATGTTTGCCCACTGACAAAGAAATTTTAATTTTAATGATAGATTTATTTTAACAGTGAGAGATAGAATAACAACAAAAAAATCCAGAAAAACACATTTCAAAAAAGTTATAAAATGATTTGCATTTTAATGAGTGAAATAAGTATTTGATCTATCAGCAAGATTTCTAGCTCCCAGGTGTCTTTTATATGGGTAATGAGCTGAGATTAGGAGCACTCTTTTAAAGGGAGTGCTCCTAATCTCAGCCTGTTACCTGTATAAAAGACACCTATCCACAAAAGCAATCAATCAATCAGATTTCAAATTCTCCACCATGGCCAAGATCATAGAGCTGTCCAAGGATGTCAGGGACAATATTGTAGACCTACACAAGGCTTGGTGAGAAGGTGGCAACAGTTGGGGCAATTATTCACAAATGGAAGAAACACAAAATAACTGTCAATCTCCCTCGGGGCTCTCTCATGGGATTTCAGTGATCATGAGAATGGTAAGAAATCAGCCCAGTACTACACGGGAAGATCTTGTCAATCATCTTAAGGCAGCTGGGACCATAGTCACCAAGAAAACAATTGGTAACACACTACGCCGTGAAGGACTGAAATCCTGCAGCGCCCACAAGGTCCCCCTGCTCAAGAAAGCACATGTACAGGCCCGTCTGAAGTTTGCCAATAAACATCTGAATGATTCAGAGGAGAACGGGGTGAAAGTGTTGTGGTCAGCTGAGATCAAAATCAAGCTCTTTGGCAGCAATTCAACTTGCCATGTTTGGAGGAGGAGGAATGCTGCCTATGACCCCAAAAATACCATCCCCACCGTCAAACATGGAGATAGAAGCATTATACTTTGGGATATTTTTCTGCTAAGGGACAGAACAGGACAACTTCACCGTATCAAAGGGACGATGGATGAGACCATGTGCCGTCAAATCTTGGGTGAGAACCTCCTTCCCTCAGCCAGGGCATTGAAAATGGGTTGTGGGGGGGTATTCCAGCATGGCAATGACAAAACACACGGCCAAGGCAACAAAGGAGTGGCTTAAGAAGCAGCACATTAAGGTCCTGGAGTGGCCTAGTCAGTCTTCAGACCTTAATCCCATAAAAATCTGTGAAGGGAGCTGAAGGTTTGAGCTGCCAAACGTCAGCCTCGAAACCTTAATGACTTGGAGAGAATCTGCAAAAAGGAGTGAGACAAAATCCCTCCTGAGATGTGTGCAAACCTGGTGGCCAACAACAAGAAACGTCTGACCTCTGTGATTGCCAACAAGGGTTTTGCTATCAAGTACTAAGTCATGTTTTGTGAAGGGGTTAAATATTTATTTCAATCATTAAAATGCAAATTTATAACTTTTTTGAAATGTGTTTTTCTGGATGTTTTTGTTGTTATTCTGTCTTTCACTGTTAAAATAAACCTACCATTAAAATTACAGACTGATCATTTCTTTGTCAGTGGGCAAACGTGCAAAATCAACAGGGGATCAAATAATTTTTCCCCCTCACTGTATCTACATGAAAAAATAATCACAACATATTGTCAAAGCATGAAATCTGTTGCACACTTATGAAAGGATATAGCTGTACTGTCCTGCAGTCCTATGATGCAAAAGTGGAATTACTCTCATTTTTTTATTTCTTACTACAAGGGTATGTTACTCAAGGACCAGAACAAAAACTAAATTTTATTTCATTTATATTTAAATTTAGCTAAAATATAGTTAATATGTTACATGCACAATAGGTTTTTTTCATGTCCTATTAAAAATTATAATTTGATATCATCTATGGAGAGTTTCAGTATACGGATCATGGTTGTTGCATAATAGATAGATTAGTCTGAACTAATTCTTCCATTTTCCTATCCCCACCCCAACATCCAGCCAGATGAAGCTTCTTGGATGAAAAACAAAACATCTTCCTCAAGGGGGAAAAACATAGTCAAAACATTTGAAAGCCACATACTACTCTAGGGTTTAGAGTAGAGTAATAAACAACTCTGTTTATTATGTTTGCCGTATTGTCTCGCTGCTATTATGTCAAGCAGTACATGCAGTCTTCCAGTTTAGCAATACAATTTGGGAAATGCCCATAAACTAGGAGCAACTAAGACTGTACAAATCATCTGGAAGACGGATTTCCTTGTGGCATGGCTACATAGAACGTACCACTTCTCAAAGAATTTTGGTACCTACATCCTTTAGGGCTTGGTGCAGCTGGACTACTTGTAGTATGTCTGTGGTACTCAAAGGCCTTCCATTGAGACTCAGAATGTGAAAGGCTCTTGAAGCCGTCACTTTCCAAATGTTTGTGTAACCAGTAGCTTTAATGCTTAAATGAAGTGTGTGTGTGTTTTCATTGCTACCTTGTTGATTTTTTAAAAAAATGATTAAATATTAAGGTGGTCAACAAGTTGAAGATTACTTAATTAATCTGATAATTAACAGCATTCAAATTTAGCCAAGTAATCATTAAAACTAAACATTAAATCATAACGTAAGTTACTTTTTGAGATTTTTAAGAAATATAATATTGCTTAAACTTAAAGAATCACTCATTGCTGTAGAAAAAGTCCAGATATTTATTTTTGTTGTCAATTATGAAGATACGCTACAACCAAACCATGATCAAACCAAACTAAAAGTGTGTAATTTTTAACCCTGTTAATGAAATATTTTCCTGAGTAGTATAATAATGAATAGCTTTAAGTATTTGCATATAATTTGATGTTTGACGTTATAAAAATAGAAGTCTTAAATAGGTAATTTTGTCAAAAAATTATGTATCTGTAACCTTTTCAAATATCACAAGAGAGGTATATCATGTTTTTTCTTCCTGAACTATTTTAACCATGGTGAGATAGGTCTTGGTGTTGTCATTGACTCTGGACATCAAGAAATAAAGGAAAGGATCAAGACAACTATTCAGGCTGCTTAGACATAAAGCAATCAGATAAAAGAAATATAAATTATCTTTAGAACTGTAATAATAATTCAGATGATGAGCAATCAGTATAACATTGCTGGGAATATAACAAATAGCAAAAATGCTGAGGACAAGAAGACTAACTTTGATGTACCAGAACCACTTTTGTTCATAAACCTTGAGTGTTCGAATAATTGAAATGTAACAAAAAATAACAGCGCAAAGTGGAATTATAAATCCAAATACTGCAAGGAAGATAAAGTAGTAGTGTTGGAAAGGGAGCATAGTTTCACAGACATTAAAAACATCATGGCAGGTAGTGATATTTAGCTGGTTCAGATGATAGCTTTGTTTCATGATTATCAAAGGCAACATATATAAAAAAACCACTGTCCACACTACCCCACAAGTTAAAGTAGCTAAGAACTGTTTAGGTAGAGTCCTGAAGGTAAATGGGTGAACAATGGCCATGTAACGGCTGATGCTGATACCAGTGAGAAGCAGGGTGGAGCAGTACGTATTTCCATAGAAGACAGCAGTCATGATCCGACACATTGCTTCTCCGAATATCCAGTTATTGCCATTCAGGTGGTATACAATTCTGAATGGCAGCATTATACAGAAAAGGAAATCTGAAATAGCCAAATTTGTGTAGAATATGGCAGTACGGACTGATCTGATTCTGAAAAATAGCATCCACAGTGTTACGACATTGGCTGGTACTCCTATTAAGACAACAGCTGTGTATATAGCTGGTAACATCTTCACACTCAGTGAGCTAGTAAGGTATTCCATGGTGATATTATTTACTTTCAATGATGAGATGTTGGATATCTCCATAGGACACTTTTCTTTTTTGTGATTGGTCAGTCCATCTAGGGCGGAAATAGGTATCGGCTCATACATGTCTTGTGGAGTGCCATAGAAAGTCTTAATGGGATGCGATTTATCATATCGAAAGTTTAAGCTGCTGTTGCTACATTTGTTTCCTAAAAATTGGAGGGGAAAAGGAAATGTAAACTACAACAGAAATAAACAGTGATTTTTAAAAATTACTTTCTCCATGAAGAAGATTTATTCCACAAGTATTAACAAGAGAGTGACATTTCTAAATTAGTTTAAGAAAGAAAATAGAGGAGTGGAAAAGTACCCTGTTTATCAAATAAGCTTTGTTTCTTCTGCATTATGTTGGGGAATAAAATTAGTTGTGTTTAGGATTACAACTTTAGACTATTTAAGTGATATTTAGGATGATAGAAAGTTTTACTCTTTCCTCCAGAATTTCACATCAGGACTTGATTTATATTAATTGAACTAACTGTAATATAGAAAATAGCCTGCTGTAGTTCAGGAAAGCTTATGCCTTTTAGTAAAATTTGTTAATTTGAAATTGATGGAACAGTCGGCCAGTCTGTCTGTCTCCCTATCTACCTCTAGCAAACAAGAGCAATCTACAGCTCTCAGCCAGGTTTCAAAAGTTCTTGGCAAGACCGTGCAGGCCACTGTTAAGAGTTATTTGCCCGTTTAAGTCTGCTATTCTGGAATGGGAGAAGAGGGGTAAATAACTCTTAGTGGAAGATAAAGACATTGGAAGGTGGGTGAGGGGGCAGAATGAGAATTGGCTCCGTAAAATCCTGCAGTTCTCAATGGATTAAAGGTAGTCCTTGACTTATGACCACAATTGAGCCCATAATTTCTGTTGCTAAACGAGACAGTTGTTAAGTGAATTTTGCTCCATTATATGACTTTTCTTGAAACAGTTATTAAGTGAATCACTGACATTATTAAGTTAGTAACATGGTTGTTAAGTGAATCAGGCTTCCCCATTGACTTTGCTTTTCAGAAGTTCACAAAAAATGATCATATGACCTTGGGACACTGCAACCGTTATAAATATGAGTCAATTGCCAAACATTTGAATTTTGATCATGTGATCATAGAGATGCTACAACTGTTGTAAGTGTGAAAAACAGTCATAAGTCACTTTTTTCAGTGCCATTGTAACTTTGAACAGTCACTGGATGAACTGTTGTAAGTTGAGGACTACCTGTATTCCAGAGGGAATGTAGCCCTTTATAAGAAAGAAAGATTGTCCACCCCTGTGTAATAGAATGCTTCTCAAATGGATGTATTTTTTTAAAAAAAAAACTATTCAGAACTATACTTAATAAATAGCTGAAGTGCTTAAGAACAAAAGGTATGTTTTTCCTTCTTTCTGAATTTACTTTTAAGTGATTGCTAATCTATGTATAATAGGACATACCAGTAATGGTAATGCAATAATGTTTTCTATCCAAGTCCCTTGACTGAAAAAGCATTAATTTGAAAGGGAAATTAATCTGATTTGAGATCTTGTTTAACAATCTGTTTGAGCCTGTATGCTTGTTTTCTCTCATTAGATGACCTAATTGCCAACAAAATAAAAGGGGACAAGTTACTGACACACAAAAACACAGATATCCTACCTTTCCGGCACAAACAGGAGGACAGATAGAAAAAACTAGTTGTCAATAGGAGCCAGGTTTTCATTGTAGCAGTGATCTTAATTTTCTAGAATGGGCATTTTAACTTGTAGAGTCTTGCTTAATCCCCATTTTAATGAAAAAAGCTCAAAGCATCAGATCTATTTACTGAACTCATCCTGTATGTAGCAATTTTGCTGAAAATAGCTGATTTGTCCTTTTTATAGTGAGAAGGGTATGATGCATCAGAATGCGGAAGTGGGCGTGACTGCTTAAACTTTCAATCAACACGGACAAGAATTAACTCTTGAAGTACTATTAGTAGAGAGTAGAATATTTATTTTGTACAAATTGTGACCGAATTTACAAACATTTGTTTACATTTTACAGTGTCTCTTTACATTTTCATTGGAACATAGAGTTACCAGACATGAAGGGCAAAAATATACAAAACCCCTGCTTTCTTCTAGTGATTGAATGGGTTTTTATGGTCCAGATTTGGTAATCCTATCTACAATTGGAAAGAGAAGTCATAGCTAGAGCATGTAGCATTATCTAGCAAGCAAACAGTACATTTTAACAAAATTGTATATGTCTGAGAGAATGAACTGGAGAATCAACTGGATTGTAAAAATAACATTATAGCATTTTAATAAGGAATTTGTTCTTGGTACAAAGGAAGAACTGACTATTAAAAGAGGATGCTGCTTCTTTGAACTGTAGATGCATCCGTTAGTCACATCCTTAGCCATGGAGCTGTATTCCAGTCCAGGAGCTGTGTACATAAAATATTTTCTGAATTATCCTTAGGAAGCTATAATATGACAATAACTGAAAGAGATACAAGTGGTCTTCCCTTTGGGAAACTTCTGTCTTTATACCAAATTTGCCTTAATTTTGGAGTCTTCTTGTTACATTGCCTTTCTGTAGGCTAGTTTTGCCTTTCTTTTTCATACTTCTTGCTTAACTCCTTGTGCTGCTTTTTCTCAGGGCTGAATGTGGCTACTTAGCTGCTTCCTTTCAAGAATAAGGGGTCCATAGTACTTTTGGAGCTTGCTTGTTTTCTTGCAGATGTTTAATTACCTAGTTAATAGCACCATTGATGTTACCTAGTTTGGGTAATGAAACGTCTACAAGGAACCAAGCTCAGAGACCACCAAGGACTCCTCATTTCAACCCTGAACTAGAAATATTCTTTATTGCTCCTTTCAGGAAACTTGAAACTACAAGCTAACTTTTCTTATGGTATCTGATTCAGCTTCATGTTTTTCACTGGGAATACATTTTAAATATGCATGCCTGCTTTTTTAATTATTATAGCATCACTCAATCCATGTTTTACATAAGTTCAAATATATAAGTAGAAAATTAGAATTATAAAAACTGAATATAACTCTCAATTATGGTTTTAAGAACAAATTAACACATCAAACTCATATATCTTATCTGATACAGTAATGATAATGTGACTTTCATGAACTGACATTGTTCTAGGCCAGTGATGGTGAACCTTTTAGAGACTGAATGCCCCAAAACTGCCCCCTGCCCTACCCCCCAACCGCCAATAGGGCCATCCACCACCTCCACGGCCCGCCGCAGCAGATCACCCAGGCGGCCCAGCAGCATCATGGCAGCCATGCCCTCCGCCCGTGCCCCATAGCATCATCTGCATGTGGCGGAGCATGAGGGCGGAGTCTTCCTGGCTGCCATGTCCCTGGCTGCGCTGTTCCGTGCAGGCCACGTCCAGGATCAACTCTCCTCTGGGGGGGCTGCTGGTCAGGAGGGAGCCGCGGGGGGAGACAGGGCTTGGGCAACGGTGTGCATGCCCACAGAGAAGGCTCTGAGTGCCGCCTCTGGCACGCATGCCATAGGTTCGCCACCACTGTTCTAGGCATTCTGTACAATAGAGATAATTCAAGGTAAGTTGTGTTGAGAATTAATAGGTATTCTGGGAAGGAAAGGGAGAGGAGGCCTCCCTTTGCAATTAATGCTTATCAGGCCTTTAATTTTCATAAGACAAATTCATACCAGTAGCCCCCTTTTAAAATAGCTTAATAATCTTGGGATATTTTGGTTGACCAAGTTAAGTTTTCAGAAATTGTAATGTTTAGGTTTATCTTTGTTTTAACCAGGAATCTCATGATGATTCATCCATGCTTTGGCTAAATGAAATACAGAAAGGAATTGATGATGCTAACAGAAACTTGGAAGAGGCATCAAAATGTGAGAACTCATTTGAATCATTATATTAAGCCCTGCATCTTTTGCAGTCACTACTAGATTTATTATTGACTTCAGCATGCCTTCTCAAATTAATCTTCTATCTTGGAACGTATTTTGGCAACTTGATTGTTGAAAGAATAGTACTTAATGTGCAACATCTTGTAACAGATGTGAGCTTCTAAAATGATTTCACAATTTCACTTCAATGACCTCCTGAATTTGAGAATTAGGCAATCAGTGACTAATAGTCATTATGACTATATACACCCTACAAGCTATGTGTGGTTCTCACCACCAATTGCTACAGAATGTGTGTGGAAAGATTATTTTGCATTTTAAACTTAAGGACTTCTCATAGACATGTATTTGGCCACTTTAGGAACAGGATCTGGATAAATATCAGATGAGAACAAAAAGATACAGAAAAATTTGTGGAGGGTTTTTTGGCTACTATCTAGTTGATCTTCAGGATTTTGCAACCAAGATTTGATAGCCATAATCAAATGGGTCTTTAGAAAAGAGTATTAAATAAATAAAAAGGAACTAAAAATTGGTCTTTAAGGTCTCACGTATATTACTGATCAATTGAGAGCTGAACAAAAAAAAAATGTTTTGCTGAGAACTTGCTGAGTATGTAGATGTTTTTCACAGTTCCCTATTAAACAGACAAATACCTGTTAAGAATCTTGCTCAGCATTAATTAAAATACTTATTATACTTAGCATTGATGTTCAATTACAATTACAGTTCATTATAATACTGCATATATTGAAGGAAACCACCTTTTATTTGTAAGTGAATTAATTGATTACCTGAAATCATATAGTTAACAAAATATTTGCTATGATAATTCTGAAAAGCTTCACAAAATGGCTTTAAATCATGTCATAATATGAGAAATGCAAATTGTTGTTAAGTGGACTGCATCTGGGCTGCAAAAATTTAAATGATAATTTGATGATGACCAAAAGCTACAATTCTCTTATCTCTGCCTTTCCCTGGTGCTTGTCTAGATTGTTACAATCTAAATACAGAAAGCATGGTATTATGTGCATTAAGCATAGTTGAAAAAAAAAGTCTAAGTAATTTGTAATTTTAAAATATGCCAGTTTACATATGGTGGTGGCATATCCGTGTTCTTTGTGTTAAAAGGTGAAAGAGTGCATAATGATAAGCAATAAAGATACAAATACTGTTTGTAATACCTTAAGACAGGAATTCATTCCTCTGTTCTTTCCTGAAAAATGAAGCCGTGGACTTTGAAACTAAATATTTATATTCTTTGGGAACTTTGTTCCCAATGTTCCAAGCCAAATGCACTCCTAAGATGTTACATTCTGGAATGTAAACAACCTGTAAATACTTTGCATCTCAACCTTTTTCTATGCAATCTTATAAAATGGTCACCAGAAATTAATAGGATTTCTTGAGTGGGAAATAAATATCAAATCCAACATTAAAAATGAAAAATAAGTTGCCAAAATTTGAGTCTCTCAAATTTAAGAGGAGAAACTCTTGGGCTGAAGCAAGCTATAGAGCCTTCTTAGTATCTTATACTACTTTAGAACAGAAGAATGAGGAATTTCAAGGTTCCAACTGCCCTCCCTCCCTCCTCTTGACAATTATTGCTTCACCTAGAAAACCAGCACATCTGGGAAGAATCTGGAGAGAATCCCTTATCTTGATTAATTCTCTTTTCAGTGTGTGAAGGAATATTAAATACTGCTTTGTTACCTACATTCTGGAATGAGTTCATGAAAGGCTGTGTACCATATGGTGTTTCTAAATGTATAGTTCAGAAATGTCAAATTTAACGGCATAGGACTGCACGTAGTCACTTGAAAATCTTGGATGTATTCCCCAGAACCCTTTCAATAGTTATCCTGAATTGTAATGTGTTACTTTGAATGTTTAATGTAACAGAAGGGAAGAACAATTAAATACTTGGAAAGTAATTGCATTAACAATATTTAATTATAATGTATATTAAAATAAGCTAAATATAGCTTTTGTCACAGGCCCTGTCTTTGCCTTGCATATACCTAGTTTATACTATAAATCTGGCCAAAGATCTTTGTTCAGTGTTATATGCAGTTTCATGGCAATTTATCACCCAGATTTTCACAGTCATTAATAAATGCTTCAGTACATTCATATATATGTGTACACATTCATGCACAAAACATGTTCCCATTTAATTTTATATGTTAAAATTAGATTTATAATAAAATCAAATTAGTCTTTGAAACTAATGTGTAAACCTTCTCATTGGTTGACATGAATTGGAGTAGAAAGTTAATGTACCACCATCCTATATTAATCTGTAGTTGGTTTTGTGCATCCTTTTCAACCCTTGCTATGCCATTCCCCCCTCTTACCCTTCCTGATCCTCCCCGCACTCCTATGCACTCCCTTGCTTCCTCCTCCATCCACAGCAGCCACTTACCTGTCTGTGAGTTTCAGCCTTTCAGCAGGAAGGTGCCTCTTCCTAACACACATAGGATTCATTTAACAATGACAATTATTATTGTAGGAATTGCCATAGCCCATTACAACTGCATCGCTTAGCAATGGAATTTTGATCCCAATTGCCACCGTAAATCGAGAACTGCCTGTAACTTAATATTATTGCTTTTCTCTTTAAAAAGGTAGACAACCTTTAATATGGGGATGGGAGGGTGCAGAAAGCAAAAAATTCGTATAAGATATTGTGGGAAATGTACGATACTAATACTTCATTGATTCTACTCCTTAGTGGCTATTGGAATATGTATGATAAACCAGTGTTTAGAAAAAGGTGATTCTGCAACGATCATCACAATTTTACAGTCGCCTAATTTCAGTCTGAAAGCTGTTCCAGAATGTGCTGAAATCTACTATGAACATTTGCAGGAAGCTAAGAGTTTAAAAACCAAAGGTATTGTTGTTTGTGCCATTTTACACAGCACAGGAAATATATAATGTTCCTAAGGTACCCCCAGCACTCTACTTCTGTAAATATTTCATTAAACATTTGTTGAAGATAAATCATGTGTTTGCTGGCCTTGAAACAAGTCGAGTCCAGGAGTATGACTCAAAATATTTATTGAAGTTTTTCTGGATACTTTGATTTAATGAGTGCCATATGCTAATTCAATATAATTTGTTCCATTAAAGTCCTGATTTAACTGAAAATTAAAGAGATTTTCTATATGCCTCTGGAGCTGTTCCTATCTGAATTATCTTTCAGAAAGGCTTGGTCTGGCTTGTATTCTATAATATATTTGTTCCTACCCATTTTCATTTCTGTGTTATTGCCCACAAATTGCATACATTTTCGTGCTTTCTGTGCGAGGTATTTGAATGATGATCCTATGGTGGAGAAACTTTTCTTGCTGTTTAAACAGGAACTGTATTATTGGGTCAATCAGTGAGTCACCAAGCCCAACATCCTGTTTCTTTCTGTGACTGATTTACTTCCCCTGAAACATCAGGGACAAGTAGTAGAAAACAACAATACAAACCAGCTCTTATTTTCAAATCAGCTCAACTCTCAAAGTATGCACGAGATGCGAGGCTAAGTGAAATGTGTTTAGCAACTTTGAGGTAAATTCTTTTGCACTTGCAGAAAAAATTGCAGAAAGAATATGTATTTATCCATGCAGATACATACACAGAAATGCCTTATTAGTTTTATTATTTGATGGTAATAAAAAGCCCCTTTCGATGCTTTGTATATTTATCTCTTCCCTCAAAAGGCCCTTTGTGGAGACTTTGTAACATACCATTGGTCAACAGAGACCTTACTCCCAATTTTTCTAATGGGAGACCTAATTCTTCATTCTGTCTTATCAATTTATGGAGTGGATTGAGTTTTTGTGCCAAGAAAAAGATTTTATACATTTTTCTTAAAGTATAAAATAGAGACTTAGAATACATTTATGTGTTTCAGCAACATGTAACCAATAAAATATTGCTTCCAACATGTTTAGAACCTGATGAAGGCCCATGGATCAAATTTTTAATTCAAGATAGCTATGATTATTATTTCAATGAAGAAAGTGAAGAGGGTACATGTGCTCCTCCTGAAGGAATTACTCCCAAAACATCCTGGCTCACTGGGGAAGAGATTCAGGTAAGATGTTGTAGACAAAATAGTTACTAGGGATAAAAAGCAGAGGGAGTGTTGGCAAATACTGGAATGATCAAAGGATGAAATGTACAAATAGAATGATGTATTAGGATCAGACAAATGCTGTGGACATAATTTACTTGGACTTCAGCAAGGCATTTGATAAAGTAGATCACAAACTATTACTTGACAAGATAGAAAAATGTGGGGTAGACAGCATCACCAACAGATGGATCTGTAACTGGCTGACCGGCCATACTCAGTGAGTGGTCCTCAATGGAACCACATCTACATGGAGGGAAGTGTGTAGTGGGGTGCCCCAGGGCTCTGTTCTGGGCCCAGTGCTCTTCAATATCTTCATCAACGATTTGGACGAGGGGATAGATGGGGAACTCATCAAATTTACAGACGATACCAAGCTGGCAGGAATAGCCAACACTCCAGAAGACAGGCTTAAGATACAGAAGGATCTGGACAGACTTGAACACAGGGCACTATCTAACAAAATGAAATTCAGTGGGGGAAAAAGCAAGGTTCTACATTTAGGCAAGAAAAACCAAATACACAAGTATAGTTTAGGGGGTACCTTGCTCAATAGTAGTAACTGTGAGAGGGACCTTGGAGTCCTAGTGGACAATCACCTAAATATGAGCCAGCAGTGTGCTGCAGCTGCCAAAAAGGCCAACACGGTGCTAGGCTACATTAACAGAGAGATAGAATGAAGATCATGTGAAATGTTAATACCACTTTACAATGCCTTGGTAAGGCCACACTTGGTCACCATGATGTAAAAAAGATGTTGAGACTCTAGAAAGAGTACAGAGAAGAGGAACAAGGATGATTAGGGGACTGCAGGCTAAAGCATATAACGAACGGCTGCTGGAATTGTGTATGTCTAGTTTAATGAAGAGAAGGACGAGGGGGGACATGATAGCAATGTTCCAATATCTCAGGGGCTGCCACAAAGAACAGGGAGTCAAGCTATTTTCCAAAGCACCTGAAGGCAGGACAAGAAGCAACGGGTGGAAACTAATCAAGGAGAGAAGCAACCTAGAACTAAGAAAAAACTTCCTGATAGCTAGAACAATTAACCAGTGGAACAACCTGCCTCCAGAAGTGGTGAATGCTCCAACACTGGAAGTTTTTAAGAAGAGACTGGACAGCCATTTGTCTGAAATGGTATAGGGTTACCTACCTGAGCAGGGGGTTGGACTTGATGACCTCCAAGGTCCCTTCCAACTTTACTACTACTACTACTACTACTACTACTACTACTACTACTACTACTACTACTATTACATAATTTTTTCCACTTTCCATAGGATTTGAAGTAAGATTTCTATTTATATTTTATATTACTATGTTAATCTTTAATTATTGGTGCATGTTATATTTTGTGAATAATTATCAAATAAAAAGAAATTCTGTTGTTATTGCCATAGGCATTCTCAGGAAAAAAGAGAGTCGGGGCGATGCAGTAGTTGTTGGTATAGCAATGGGGTAACTTAACTTCTAGTTCCTCCTCAGCTTCAGAAACTTATTTGGTTACTGTACTTTGGAATGATGATTTAGTGTCAGACCACTCAGCTTTAGGAATTTTGGGGTAGGGAAAAAGAGAAGAGAGTGTTACGTATATCACCTTGAGCTTCTGAATGAAAAACAGAATATAAATATAATCAGCTAGTCAATCAGTTACTGAGGGTTACAAATATCAAAATGAAAATAATTATAACCACCACATATTTAACAGTTTTTATTTAATATTCACAAATGCTTATTTTCAAAAATATTCCAAAGAAGAAGCTAAAAAATACTCTATATAATATAATCTATATAAATTTGGTCAGGTTGGATGGAAGGTATAGTGTAGTTAACTGTTGAAACAATATGGATTTTGTCAAGTTTCTTATGTTTTGACTATCTCCTTAACATTATCTTTTTCTTGTAGAAAATTGTCAGTGAGATCACATCAAATTATAATAGAGAACAATTATGGTTTGCAAATGAGGACCTGATCATTCAGCTGCAAGCTAAAGCAAAGGGATTTTTAGTCAGAAAAAAATATAAAGAAAGAAAAACATACCTCCAAGCCCAGGAGCCATCAGTGATAAAAATACAGGTAGTATGCATCTAGTATTGGATGGATAATAACATAATGAAGAGTATTAACAAATACAGTACCTGTGTTCCCTCTTTATGTTTTCCAACACTCCAACATGTCAGTACAGATAAGGTTTTCTTGTAAATGTACAATTAATGGCTACAATTAAAGTTCTGTTTTTAATAATTAAATTAGGGATCTTATCCTGTGAAGTTTTACCAGGCACATGTAACAACCATCTTTAGTCCCTAAACTTGTCTTGCCAAAAAGAGATACTTACTGTTTTTGCAATGTGACATATATTCTGTGCTATACATTCTGTGGCAGCTGAAAAACAATCTGTGCATATATTTTAGTGACCAATTTTGTAAGATTTTTTCCATTTGGAATAATGAAGTAGAAAACTAAAATAAAGCTTACTATAAATGATTGTTGGAAAACATGTTTGCTATCACATTTTAATAGTAGTACACTTCTGTATTCCTTCTAAGAGTGCAATGTACTGTAGGTTTTTATCTGAAAAAGAAAAAAAAATATCCATTCTGAAATTTGCAAGTCAAAAAACAGAAAGTATGGCAACTTCACTATGCTTAGAGAAGGTTTACAAACAATTTAGTATTAGCCATATTGCTAATACATCTTGTGTTTTAAATAAACAGGCATTTTGGAAAGGGTATAAACAAAAGAAAAATTACACGGAAAGACTTCAGATGTTGCAGACAAATGTTGCCTCAGTTATCAAGGTAAAAATATCTTGTATATAATGAATTATAAAACTAACTTCGGGATGATGTATTCTTGCTGTTGTCCAGCGGCTATGGCCTAATAATCTCTGAATTCCTATATTTTACTTGTGTACATCTGAAATGTTTCAACTACTTTTAAAAAACAATCTATTGTAAATGTGACAAGTATTCTGCAGCTTGTGACACCTTTGTAGTTGCCCAGTGAAGCATATGGGATGAAGTCACTGATGAAATGTGAAAGATTGGAGAAATTGGGCAAGAGCAAGTTTAATTATGCCTGTTAGTTACTTTTAAAAAATAGAAACCAGTCATCTGACTGCTTTTCATCGGGAATTTGTATAATTGTGTAAATGGAACTGTGGAAATCTCATTTGAGATTTGAAGCCAAATGTGATTAATTATATTTATTGGGCTTGGAGGTTGAAAGAAGAGAATTTGCACTGGCTTAAGGGCAGTGAAGCTATTTCTTATTCACATCTTAATGTGAGATATAACACACAGGCATATTCGAACTAATAAAAATAAAATGCTAATAAAACTAACAATATGCTAAAAACAAAAATGTTGTTTAAATATTGATCATGTAAATATTTTTAAATTATTTAACTTTTAGATTCAGTCATGGATCAAAATGTGGTTAGCAAGAAGAGCATACAAAGAACGGATACAATATTTCAAAGATCATGTAAGATTTTTCTCTTTTTTGTTCTCCTGTTTAATAGTTAATTGCTTACAACAAATTATCCCTATATCATAGGACAAAATAAAGACAGAAAATTAATAAGATTGTTATGAACACTATCTGTAATATACCATGAGAGCTATGAAAGATATTTGCAGCCAGTTTATTACCCCCAGGTAATAATTGTAAACATATATATTATGGGTTTTTTTTTCAGAATGAAGAAATTGTGAAAATTCAAGCATTCCTTAAAGCAAACAAAGCTAGGGAAGATTATAGAACATTGAGTAAGTACTGAATAATATTTTCTCAGTATACACTATATAAAGGAATTGGATGCCGTAATTATAACAAAATGATTGTTCCCAGTTCTACTTTTCCTTTTTATCTGATATCGATAAAGATATTGATGTTCTAAAAGCTGTGTGATCAGGATAATGGATTGCATAAGGGCCAATAAACTTTCAATTCAGACAAGATATAGACGGTGCATTTCTCCAGCAGAATGGTGCCTTGTCTGTCCTGGAGAGGTCTGCACATGCCCTACAGAAGCAGGTTCACAGTTTGGGAGTGGTCCTAGATCCATTACTGTCACTAGAGACTCAGGTGGCCTTGACAGCATGGACTACCTTTTATTCATCAGCTGCTTTCCCAACTGCAAACTTACCTGAGACTACCTTGCAACAGTTGTTCATACTCAGTTATTCAAAACACTGTTTTTAATTTTTAAAGCCCTAACTGGCTTAAGGGTCAAGTTACAATACTTTCTTCCATGTGTATCTACCCAGACTTAAGGTTGTCTAATGAAACCTTCCCTCAGGTCTCCTAAACAAAAGAGGAGAGATGGACTTCTACAACGGCAAGAGCTTTCTCTGATGTCACCCTATTTATAGAATTCTCTCCTCACAGAGACTTGAGTTAACAGCCACATTAGTATCATTTTGGTGACAGGTGAAAACTTTTCTGTTTTCTCAGGCTTTTAAATTGTATTTCAATTCACATTCTTTTAGTTTTTGAATATCCACTATGCTGTTGCCTAGATTACATGGTGTTTTATTTTGTGTTTTATGTAATTTTATATATGTTTTTACTCTGATTATATATTCTTAGTATGCTTTATTATAAACTGCCCAGAGATCTCTAGCTTTTGGGAGCTTAACTTTTTAAAATAATAAATAAAAGAATGTTTTAAATAAAAGTGTTTTGACTGCCAGGTACAGTTTGTTTAGAAGTGAATGCTGTAATTTTTAATTTGTTCACTTTATTTATAGCTAGTTCTGCAAATCCTCCTTTGAATGTCTTGCGCAAATTTGCTTATCTCATGGATCAGAGTGATTTAGATTTTCAAGAAGAGCTAGAAGTTACAAGGCTAAGGGAAGAGGTGGTCACCAATATCCGATCTAGTCAACAGTTAGAAAAAGATTTGAACTTAATGGATATTAAAATAGGATTGCTGGTTAAAAACAGAATAACATTGCAGGTTAGTGAACATAATGTTTTCATAATTGTAATTAAAATTAGGTTTGCTTTTTCCTCTTCTTTTTATTATGTGTTTTTATTTGCCCTTTAGCTTGTAAACTTGTAGCCTGGGACTGTTTTGTGTGTTACTGATTTCATGCAAGTAGTCTCTGATTGAATATTAAAATTTCTCTGAAATAATATTATTGCTTATTATGTATTGTTATTATGTTTATTAACATTGGTTAATAGTTTCCTGACAAGGGTAGTTGTGAGATCTCTCTGGCTTTCCAGAGAATTCCAGAAATGGATACATCTGTAATACAGTAAGAAAGACTGTAAACATTTCTACCTCTGCTTCTGGATTCTTTTTTGTTAAAAGATAATAATAATAATAAGAAGAAGAAGATTGCACAGACTGACTACAAGCAGCGGCATGACAAAGTAGCAACAATGGTGCATTGGAAGATCTGCAAAAAATATCATTTGCCTGTAAGCAAAAACTGGTGGGATCATAAATAGAGAAAGTCATAGAAAATGATAAAATTAAACTGCTCTGGGACTTCAGAATTCAAACAGACAAGCACCTGCAACATAACACCCCAGACTTAACAATTGTCGATAAGAAAGACAAAAAAGTCTGGATAGTGGATGTGGCAGTGCCTGGAGACAGCAGAATAGACGAGAAAGAACTGGAGAAGATAACAAAATACAAAGACCTACAAATAGAAATAGAAAGACTGTGGCAAAAGCAAGCAAGGGTAGTACCAATAGTATAGGCTCCTTGGGTGCAATCCCAAAACAACTGGAGCACCACTTGAACACCATTGGCATTGACAAATTCGCTATTAGTCAATTGCAAAAGGCGGCCTTACTAGGAACTGCTTCCATCCAGCGACGATATCTGTAATACCATCAGACATCCACATCTGCCTATCCCAGGTCCTGGGTAAGGACTCGATAGATAGACAAAATGCCAAATCCAGTCTGTACATTAGGCTGACTGTGCGATGATCCATAATAATAATAAAGTTGGAAGGGACCTTGGAGGTTGTCAAGTCCAGCCCCCTGCTCAGGCAGGTAACCGTATACCAATTTGGACAAATGGCTATCCAGTTTCTTCTTAAAAACTTCCAGTGTTGGAGCATTCACCGCTTCTGGAGGCAGGTTGTTCCACTGGTTAATTGTTCTAACTGTCAGAAAGTTTCTCCTTAGTTCTAGGTTGCTTCTCTTTTTGGTTAGTTTCCATCCATTGCTTCTTGTCCTGCCTTCAGGCGCTTTGGGAAATAGCTTGACTCCCTCTTCTTTGTGGCGGCCCCTGAGATATTGGAACACTGCTATCATGTCATGTGCAGTTGTGGATGCACCTCTTGATCAATCACAAAGACAGAGATGTTATTTGAGCTTAAATAAGTATCTAGAATATTTATCACAATGAAGCCTCATTGTATGCATCTATCAGTAGCAACAGACAAATTTTTGGTCTGGACTTCAACTCCAAATAGTTGAATTTTGCAGTCAATTTCTGAAGCAATCCAGATAACTGACCTAATCTAGTTGTATCATGTAATGGCAGTAATATAAATTGACATGGTTAACATAATTTCTTAAATTACATATCTACCCTGATTACATAATTAATGCACATTATGTAAATTACATCAACTTACGTCCATTTGCATTTAACAGACATTCACCTTCACTGCCTGAGAATACCTCTCTTAGTTCCTGCCAGATTTGCTGCCATGAGGTTTTATATTTTTAACATCATTTTCTAACTGAAAAAAAATGCTGGGAGCATTTGGGAACTGGCATGCTGCAGAGAAGCATCTTCCACCATCCATGCATATGCACAAGGCCTCAAATGTGTCTTGTAAATCTTCTTAAATAAGTGCACAAAAACCAGAAGTTAATTGGAAAATATACTAACCTGTCAGGAAAAAAGGGCAAAGTACTGGTAAGGGGCAATAACATTCTGTTAAATAGATGCTCTGAACATTTTTGCACTTAGAAGATATATCAAAATTACAAATGCACTCACCAAACTTCAAGTTTAGAAACCCAAGGATGATTGTGTCTCTTCCTCTTCTCAATTGCCAGATTTTATTTAAACTTTCTCTCATAAGAAATTGTATTTCTGTTGCTGGGGCTTAGAGCCAAGCCAAGGTCTAAGCACTGAATCGCTTCTTTTTCAGGAATTGCTTGATAGATTTTTGTCATAGTGGTTTTATTTTTGTAATTGATCAGGTACTCATTGCCATACTATGAACTTCTCTCAAAATGCTAAATTGAAATGAATTTGACTGTAATAGCTAACTTTTATTTCTACCAAATATCCAACTTGAAGTGTTCACATGGCTTTCATTTTTCAGGATGTTGTGTCACATAGCAAGAAGCTGAACAAAAAAAGCAAAAACCAGCTGCAAGAGATGGTAACTGGAGAAAAGCAAGGCATCAAAGGCTTGAGCAAAGAGAGGAGAAAAAAACTGGAAGCCTATCAACACTTGTTTTACCTTCTTCAGGCAAGTAAACAGTAACTGAAAATTTATAATATTATAAATTATGCATTATAGAGGATCATAGATGTCCTTTTTTGTTGTCTGTGGCTGTAGCAGTTTTTGAAACAAAATCAGTTGAAATCAATCTGAATAAACCTGGTTATAGTGTAATCCAGCTGTCCAGTCCTTTACACACAGAGAGAGACACATACACACTCACTCATGCACTCTCCCCTTCAATTCCCTCCAACCTCATGCACAACCTTGGAAAGAAAATCTTGTGCAGCCAGCAGCTACCACACAAAGGGCCATGCTGGGCATATTTGGTCAGCAGCAGGAGCAGGAAAACTATGAAGAGCAATTCAGACAGCCGGGGCTATGGAGTTCAGGGGCCAAAAGGAGATAGGCAGGTAGGCTGCCGACCGCCTGAATTTTGATCACATGAGGAGTGCTGCAATGGCCGTAACTTTGGGAAATGGTCATAAGCTGATTTGATTTAGTGGTTAAGGCACCAGGCTAGAAAGCAGGAGGTTGTGAATTCAAGTCGCACCCTAGCCATGAAATCCAGTGGATGACATTAGCCTAGTCACTTTCAGCCAACTCATCTGAGGGATGTTGTGGAGAAAACAGGCAGAGGAAGGTGTGCTAGATATGATTGTCACCTTGGGTTATTTGTAAAAATAAAGGTGGGATATAAATAAATAAAATTAAATAAATAAATATTAGTCCCCTGATTATAAGGTATAATGGTTATAAGATCGATGGTTGTATGTAAAGGACTAAGGCTAAGTGAAAAGACTGCATTAGTTTAGCACAATATATTTTATGTCAGTAATGTATTAATTTTGATTTCTAGTCTAATGGTAACACTTTTACAAGAGAATTTTCAATCATAAGTACAAATATATTTTTATATATTAAGAACAGTTTAGATTTCTCATAAGTAAATCAATAGTCTGTTGAAAAATACATATGGATGTTCCATTTTATTAACTCTTAATATTTTTTACACAGACTAATCCAACTTATTTGGCAAAGCTCATTTTCCAGATGCCCCAGAACAAATCCACTAAATTTATGGATACAGTTATCTTCACACTATACAATTATGCTTCTAATCAACGAGAAGAATACTTACTTCTGAAGTTGTTTAAAACTGCTCTAGAAGAAGAAATAAAGTATGCATATTACTTCCCTTCACTTTTTAATATTTGTTTGAGTATGCACAATAGAGAAAAACTTAAATTTCCTTTAAACTTGTGTAGGGAATATAATGGGTTTTTCGTGGCTGGGAAAATGGGAAGTTGTTTCTCCTTGCTCAATATACGATGCTTGCATCACACTAAAGCAGTTTTAAGGATCAGGCTGTAAACTTCAGCGGAAATGATGTGGGTTAATTGAGTAGATTTACATTTATATTTCAAAATGTTCCTTCATCTAATTCTTGCATTAAATAGAATAGTTTTGCAAAAATGTGATTCATTAAAAAAAGCTCACTACAATAGCAAAAATATGGATTTGATGTCTGAAGTCAAAATATAAATGTTGCTAATTTTCTTTACTGCAGTTCTAAAGTAGATCAGATTCAGGATATTGTCACAGGAAATCCTACTGTCATAAAAATGGTGGTTAGCTTCAATCGAGGTGCACGAGGGCAGAATACATTGCGTCAGCTGTTGTCATCAGTGGTAAAGGACATAATGGATGACAAATCCCTAGTCATCAATACAAGTCCTGTGGAAGTGTACAAAGCATGGGTAAACCAGCTGGAAATGCAAACTGGAGAGGCCAGGTCAGTACACAACAAATGAATATAACTGATTTTTTTTTTTTTTTTAGTATCTGTAGGTGCTGTTGCAAAATTTGGGATGAAAGAGGAAGATTATGACAGAATAGATGACAAACAGCAAAGAATATTGGTTACTCGTAACAAATGAAATTATTTGAATTGAATTCCAATATATTTGAAGAATCCTAGAGTGGAGAAGATTATATTAAAACAGAAAATCAGAGTTTCTCAACTTTGGCAGCTTGAAGATGGGTGGACTACAACTCCCAGAATTCCCCTGCCAGCTAGGCTGGGAGTTGAAGTTCACCCATCTTCAAGCTGCCGAGGTTGAGAAACACTGCAGTAAATGATTAGGAAATCTATTTGGGGTTTTTCAATTTTAGTTTTCGTTAGGCTCTGAAAAAATAGTGACATTAAATTAATGTGATGATTTAAAATAATAATAATAATAGTTGGAAGGGACCTTAGAGATCATTGAGTCCAACCCCCTGCTCAAGCAGGAAACCCTACACCATTTCAGACAAATGGCTGTCCAGTCTCTTCTTAAAAACTTCCAGTGTTGGAGCATTCACCGCTTCTGGAGGCAGGTTGTTCCATTGGTTAACTGTTCTAATAGATTGCATTTATTTAATCTCAAAAGGTCATAAAATGGCTAAATGACAATCATGCAACACATTCAAAAACAATGGCCGTGCAATCTATGTAAGTTATGAAAAGTAATCTTTGACTTGATAGATTGATTATATGCTTTCAAAGCATTGAGGATGAAGTAAACTAGATCACCAAATCAATGGAGTACAAAATCTTTGGACATTTAAAAAACTATTGTTATTTGAATGAAATACTTAAAGACAGCAGTGTTTTTACATACATTATAGCAATAGCACTTAGACTTATATACTGCTTCACAGTGCTTTACAGCCCTCTCTAAGCAGTCTACAGTCAGCCTATTGCCCCCAACAATCTGGGTCCTCATTTTACCAACCTTGAAAGGATGGAAGGCTGAGTTGGTCTTGAGCCACTAAACATTGAATTCTTGGAGTGAGCAGTGACTTAGCCTGCAGTACTGCGTTCTAATCATGGCTCTTATGTATTTAATATTATTATTTTCAAATATGGAACTTAACTTTGCTATACTTGAAGGCTTCCCTGTTTCTGCTGAATGAGGCCCTTCTGCCCCAGAAGAAAGATTTTAAAAATACAATAATTTCATTTAAAAAGCTTCATTTGTTTGATATATAAAAATGAAATATATCTGACTAGACTGATTCACAGCTATTATAATAAGGATGATGTGTTTGATACTCATTCTGTTAAAATGAATTACAGGGCTTATTATATGTAAGCTTTAGATTCATCCTAATTGTGCCCTTTATTGCATAAATAACAATATTTAGTCATTCTGTTTTAGAATACTTGAAGGGGTCTCAATATTTCTTTTTTTTCCTGATTTTTAAAATATTTTTTTCTTCCTAAGTACAGATAGTTCTCAACTTACAACAGTTCATTTAGTGACCGTTCAAAGTTACAACAGCACTGAAAAAAGTTACTTATAATCATTTTTCACACTTATAACTGTTGCAGCATCCCCATGTTCACGTGATTTATGTTTGGATGCTAGACAACTGGTTCATATTTATATGATGGTTGCAGTGTTTCGGTGTCATATGATCCCTTTTTGCAACCTTTTGACCAGCAAAGTCAATGGGGATGCCAGATTCACTTAACAACAGTGTTACCAACTTATCAACTGCAGTGATTCACTTAACAACTGTGGCAAGAAAGGTCATAAAATGGGGCAAAGCTCACCTAGCAAATGTCTCACTTAACAACAGAAACGTTGGGCTCAATTGTCGTAAGTCAAGGACTACCTGTATAGTAATCAATACTGTGCTATGTTTCCTGGAAGGGTCATTACAATTTTGGACCTCATTAAAAAGATTAAATAAGATAAAAAATTTAAATGTTTTAAAATAGATATGCATATATGTGCATATGTATCTTGAAATTCATGGATGATGTGAGAATGTGTTTCCATTAAAATTATTATTTTCCTATCAAAATAGTATAGTTTGAAGTATAGTTCAGTGTTTTAAATAATCAGAAATATTGACAGCTTATATTTAGTGATAATCAGCTGACATATAGGTTATTTCAGTGTTTTGGATTTACCTTGTACACTTTGGCATATTGGGCTCTTAATATTAAAAACGATGGAATAAAAATTCCATTGAAAATAAGATGTAATTAAAAAAATTGGATTGGTGGTAGAATCAAATGCATCAAATGTATGACATGGCAGTACATAGAAAAATAACATTTTAGTATTGTTAAAATAAGCTATGATGCAAATAATTATAACCAATTCAGCAAATTCAGTAAGTTATGAAGTATAACTTTTTAAAATGTTCAATAAAATTAATTGTTCTGTGCTCTGTAGTTTATCATTTTCTTCTCTTTTTTGTAGCAAATTACCCTATGATGTAACAACAGAACAAGCCTTGACACACTCTGAAGTAGTGAATCGACTAGAATCGTCAATTCAGAGTCTTAGAGCAGTAACAGATAAAGTCCTTGCCTCCATATTCTCATCTCTGAACTTAATGCCGTAAGTGCAAGGACCTCTGAAAATGTTGGTGGAACTTTTACATAAAAGGCAAAGTTATTTTGTAATTCCTCGGAAGTATTTACATCTCTATAACCAATCCCATTCTTTAGATTTAAAAAAACCATTCATAATGTATTTTCTTTTTTACTTTTGGGATATGTCATCTTGTTTTGTTTATTTCTGAAGTATTTAAATGCAATGTTTTGTTTTTCTTTTTTGGTTGACTTAAATATATTGTTTTTCATTCCAAGTTTCCACTTTTTTTTCTTTTTCATCTGTTTTTGCGTGTAGTTATGGATTGAGATATATAGCCAAAGTTCTGAAGAACTCACTTCATGAGAAATTCCCAGATGCAACAGAAGATGAGCTGTTAAAGGTAGATTTGCGAGGATGATTCAATAGCTTCATTGTACTTTCTAAGTATACGAAAGGGAATTTATTTATTTGCATTGGGGTACAGAGTAACTTAGGAGAACCAGGACAAAAATACAGTATGATATTTCTATCTGAAAACTGATTTCTTAGATAAAGATCAGTAGTACTCAACTTTCTTTGATAATACATCATGGGTGGGCCATATCATTCATGTTAATAGGGTGTTTTTAAAATTACTGATTATGCTTTTATTTATATGTAGTATTGCAGTTAGGTGTTTTAGTAAAGTATATTTCCTAGATCGCAGAATATAAGTAAATGTAATCAGTTACAAATAATAATTGCAATTTTCTGTGTTAGAGTATTTATTTCTCTCTTTTTCAAACAATATTAAAACTATTTTAGGCCTACAGTACTGGATATGTGTGTCTTCGTCAAAATGGCAGGAAATGCCTGCTAATTTTTATCAGTTGTAAGTAAAGGGAGATTTGGTGCAGGATTTAGTAGTCTTTAACAAAAAGCCATAACATATTTTTAACTTTGTTTTTATGTCCAGTTTAGCTATAAATCTTTAAAAACAGTTTATTACTCTAATTACAGTAATGTTGGAACAAATTAATTTATTTGTCTTGGTTTGAAAATGCTTATATAAAGTGGCAGTGATATTTTATCCAGCCTAGAAAGCAATAGGCCATGCAAAATATTTGCTTCACAATAAGGCATTTGCCTGAATGTGGGAAGGGTTCAAAAAGAGAAGAGTGTTGAGCTTGCAATTTCCCCAACTTTATAGCTACTATGCGCTCTGGAGGGAGGATAACTTGAATGCAACTGTAGCTCTCCATATAATTCAAGATCCAGTCTGAGTTCTCTGATCACTCAAGTGGGGCTTTTGTTGCTTCAATAACTCTTTTTGTTTTGCTTTTGTCTTTGGTGCCTTTGAGTGAGTGTTGATTAGTCCCTGCAGTTTTCTTGGCAAGGTTTCTTTGGGGAAGGGGTTTGCCTCCTTCCTAGGATTGAGAGTGAGTGATTGGCTCAAAGTCACCCAGCTGGCTTTGTGCCTAAGGCAAGACTGAAACTCCCAGTCTCCCGTTTCTAGTCTGATGCTTTAATCATTACATCAAATTGGCTCTTGCTCTTCTTTAGGCAGTCTCTAATATTGCATGATTAAAGAGGTAAAAAGTTTCTTTCAGCTTTATTTATTTATTTATTTTTGTCATAGTGAAGATATTGCTTGGTGTCAAGTTGTTTTTCCCAAAACTTTAAAATGCGTGTCTTATTATACTCAGCATATGGACATTTAAGGCAATGGAAAAGAGAAAGAGAAAAATGGAACAAAATGTTTTAACTTAGACATCTCCCCCCCCCCATGCTGTTGCACTACTCTGCCAAAGAAAGCTGTCTTATTTATTAGTGTGAAGGGGGGGGGGAATGAAAGTCACTGAGTGTGTATTAATTACTACACTTTACAGTCTATTTTTTTATCACAGTTTGGAAAGGCAAGGCTTTTACATAAAATCAGAATGACTAACCACACTTCCAGTAATTTATTTACATGTGACTATTTTGACAAAATGCAACTATCAATACATCTACTTAAAATATTTATTCATCATTATGAAAGTTTTAATTGAAAAGGAAGATGAATTTAAGAGTCTCCTCTGCTCATCCCAGCATAAAGAGAGAAAAAAATGCCTTAGTTTTTCATCTTGTCAGTCTTCATTGCCAACTCCAGCTGCAGCCAATCCTGAAGATTCGTCCCCCATAAATGTTTGAGTGGTAGATAAACGTGTGTACGTGTGTAGATATATCTGTCAGGATTTGAGAAGGAAAGAACCAACAGGATTAAGAAAAGAGGAAAAGGAATAAATAGCTATACCAAGAAAGGAAGGAAGGGAACAGGATGCAAATAAGGAGAAGGAAGTGGGATAAATTAAGAGAAAAAGAAGAAAAGAGAAAAATGCTTTTGGCATTACAAAAAGAGTTAAAATTCAAATGGTTCCTCTCATGCAATTGATGTTGAAAGGATCTATGATTTTCAGTAGGTTATCTCATCCATTAGCACCTCCTACCCATTCACATGCAATGTCTTATAAACAAAATGTTTATAAGATATTTATAAATCTCCCTTCTTGCATGTAATTATTGGGGGGAAAGAATTCATTTTCTTAATTAGGTACATCTTCATTCTTATAAAAATATCTATAAACAATTGCTGAAAATATTGAGAATGTTTATTTCCTAACTAGTATGAGAAGTATCATACTATTGTAAGTATGATAATAAGTCATACTAAGTATTACACTATACATAGGTATCAGTTATATCTTCAGATAAGTGATGTAGTTGTGCACATTATAGGTTTGATCCAAACCTATTGGATTTTATCTCTGATATTCCCTCTCTAGCTTGTAGTATTTAACCAATTGTTTAAGAAGTAGGGTTAAATATATGAATAAATATGCCAAGTAAAAGTATCTAAAAGTGTCTTTCCCCAATAGATTGTTGGAAATCTCCTGTACTATCGGTTTATGAATCCAGCTATTGTTGCACCTGATGGTTTTGACATCATTGATATGACAGCTGGAGGACAGATACATTCTGATCAGAGGAGAAATTTAGGTTGTGTAGCCAAAGTCCTTCAACATGCTGCATCAAATAATCTCTTTGAAGGGGAAAATGCTCATCTCTCATCAATGAACAGTTATCTATCCGAAACATACGAGAAATTCAGGTTTGTACTAATCTAAATATGGGTGTGAATTGAAAGTATCTCTTCTACACACTTACTTTATATTTTTTGTATAAAAGGCTTTTCTTTTTCTTAACGTTCATTTATTTTCGTAACATTTCATTTTCTTAACATTCAACATTCAGATTCTGCATTCTTGTTAAAGCTGAGCCAGCATCAGAATTTTCTCAGGAGTAATTCAGATCTTGCAGGAGCACAGCACTTCTCTGCTGTTCATTGAAGCAGCCCATCTTTTTTTTCCGGCTTTTCCATGAATCTGAAAATAATTAAACTACTATTGACCCTTTTAAGTTAATGCTAAGAAGAAAATGTATCTTAAAATGCCTTTTCTCCATATAGAGTTAGAAAACTTTAAGCAATTGGATAGTGGTGGCATATATATGTAGTGTTCTGAAACTCTATTCTTTTTCCACCTTAGAAATTTTTTTCAAGCAGCATGTGTGGTTCCCGAACCTGAAGAAAAATTCAATATTGATGAATATTCTGATATGGTGACTCTTAGTAAGCCAGTAATATATATATCTATTGAAGAAATTATCAACACCCATTCAGTAAGTGCATACAAAAGAAAGAAAAGTTTTAAGTTTTGGGCACTGTGAAGCTGAAATGTAAAATGTATAATTTAATAATAGAGACAAAATATTTTCTTCCTATTGTGATAACCTGAAGATTTGAGCAAATATTTGGAGACTTTAATAAGAAATCATTTCTTTAGGGTTCTTTTAAGTTAAGAAATGTTCAAGAGTATTCGATAGATTTTCATAGAGAAAGTGAATTGTGTTTGTTACTTTCCTTTTTCTTAGTGTTAACAAAGATAATCAGTGCATATAACAATTGTTGGGAGAAGGGGCAGGAATTCTTAATAAAAATTTTTGAAAATAGAACAAGTCACCTGTTTATACTTTTAAATTTTTGTATAATCTATTTCATACAGATTGGAAAGGGATTACAGTTGGATAGCAGACTTTTTATCTCTTTTTTATACTTCTTCAGAATGTTAATTTTAAACAAGAGCTGTTACATATGTACAAAGAAATCTTTAAAAAGAATGAAAAGGGTTTCATACGTAACCATTAAAACCATGCTTTATTTAAATATTCCAAGAAGAATATAATGGACAACCCAAATAGGAGAAAACTGGAATTGCAGTGGTGCAATAGGACATCTAAAATCTAATTTCAGATCTCCCTTTTACTCCTCCATAAAATGTTTCTGGTTCTCTTAGTTTTTTCCTGTTTGCAACATAAAAATATGATATAATTTAATGACTAAATATTTGACTTCCTGAAGAATTAGAAGTATTCAGATTTAATCATCAGAGTTCTGAGTTTAATGCCGTAGGCAGATAATTTAAGTTTAGGGCAACTAGATTTTGTAAAATTGTAATGGTATGATATTCAGAGCATGGCCATGCTTAAATATCAAATTTGAGAAATGTTAAATAATGTGATTATTTAATGGAAGTTATGTATTATCATAATCTTCCTTATTTCTTACACCTCAAGTAAAATTACTGATTGCAGGCAGACTAATTAGAGGAAATAAATTTGGATGATCATTCTCTTTATATTTATCTATAAATTTCTTTTAAGGATGATATCTTGGACTTAGTTGAAAAAACATAATTGCATTTCTAATAGTTATTTATGGCTGTAGATATAGTTCCTCTGATAGTGCTAATACTTGCTGACTGTAGGAAAAGCATGGTTGAAAAGTTAATGCAGCACATTTTTTAAAAACATTTGGTTGAGATTATTGTTTAAACACTTGAAAAGCATAATACATTTTAACTGCTTGTTGACCTTTAACCTTTTTTTTTAGTATTCTTGAGTTTTAAACCATGTTGATTAGTTTCCTGAAACTGAAATACGTAATATTTTTATAGTAATACATTTGGAATTTTACAGAAATCCAGAGAACATTTTGTTTTTTAGAACAATGATTTTTAAAAACATTATTATGAAAAATAAGCAAAAACATTCCCATAATAGCAAGAATGAAATGTTGCAAATCATATTGAACAAAATAATCCTCCACTAAAGAGAGGAAGAGAATAACTTCCCTCCTCCTCCCATTTTTTTTTTCTGTAGGGCTCCTAAGTTCTTATAGGATCATGCTGGGGACAATAAAAAAATTACCCTCTCACAGTTTATTGGCACATAGCTTCTTCTGCCAGCAGATGTCTTTCAAAATCCATTAGTATTCTCAACTATGAAATGAGGTGTTTTGTAGGAGCAATAGATTTGTAATAGAGAATTGGAAACCATTAAATAGAATCCTCTCTCAGTGAATTCTTCAAATCAAACATTTGATGTTGGTTTCATTGACTAATAATTTATTTGACTTTTGTGCCAAATATCTTTAGGATTGTGACAATTCTCTTAACCAAATCCAATTAATATGAACATGAACATAGTAGCGTTACTTTAAAAATTCTATAGTCTTTTTAGATGAAGAGCACATTTTTGCATATACAATAGCAGCTTTGAATAACAAATTATTGGAGTAAATTACAATTCAAAAATTAAGAATCTATTTTATGACTCTTTCTTCCCTGTACATAAATTCTTCCTGTTGTTTGATTCCTAAAATAGCATTGAAGAGACATTTCAGAATGGGATGATTTATTTCCTATCCATGTGAAATAATTTCTTCCATATGAATATGAGTTTTGCATTTCTCTGGATGAATACAATTTACTTCTACTATGTCTCCTGAAATGCTTTTTTATGATCCCTTTTGGTTTTGTGATTATTTCCATTTATATTATTATCATTCTGGTTCTGTTATGTATTTAAATAGTTTATTAGTATGTGGAAACATCAGATTTGTAGTTTTAACAAGTATAATCTCATTTACAGCTATTGTTAGAACATCAGGATGCCATTGCTCCAGACCAAAATGATGTCTTAAATGAACTCTTGCAAGGGTTGGGGGAAGTTCCAGATGTAGACACTTTTCTTGGTAAGAAAATGCAACAAAACCCACAAAAAGGCAACTAAAAGATTGGATATAACCTGTGCATCGATTTAAAACAATATATGTTAAACTAGACCAATATTTTTGTTTGAGTTAAAACAGGATTTTTGTTTATTTGAAAATGTATTTCCTTCCTTTGCAATGGAAACTGCATAATTATCCATACGTACACACATACCCTTGAAAACACAATGTTCTGAACACAATGACATGATCTCAATCAGAGAATTACCATATCAAAATGGACTGAATGCATATATTTTCCTAACAGTGTAACTAAGATATTGCCCAAGTGGATATATGGCCATGTTTGTTGAAATAAAGTTCAGAATGAATAAAGAGAAGGTTGTGAGGTGGTCCACTTTCTACTCAGGGTTTGGTTTGGGAGCCTGGTTAGCAGCAGAACAAGATATTTGTCCTCTATATCTGTAGATGGTGATTCAATGTAATCAGTAGGTTCATCTTCCTTTCTATCAGCATATGATTTTAGGTTCATTTTTTTAAAAAAAATCTGGTATTTTGCCAGGTCAAAAGAATATAAGCTTCATATGTGCATATGTGAATATGAAAATAAAAAGTTAATGCGAGAATTGATCACTAGAAAAAGCACAGGTGCATTTTTGTAAGCTGTTAAATGTCTTTGTAGATAATTCAGATTCTTAGTTAATAAAGGTGAAAATTGTATTTTTTTTTCACAAATCTCCAATAACATGTCATGTGTGAGAACTATCATGGAAACTCCAGTATCTTGTGTGTAAGCTAGTCAATCCTTTCACAAAAGCAATCCGCAGAGTGACTTGTTTTAATCAGAATAGCATATAGCATACAGTCAGAGCTGTTTATAAATTTCTTATTTCTTGTATTCCCATAACTTTCTATAGAACAGAATAACATGTTTGAGTAATTGAACTACAAATATACTTCATGTAATTCATACACAAAATCTTCCTGAATTGTTGCTCTCATTGAAAAGTTTTTTAAAGTAAGCACTATCTGTGCAGTGTTGTCTTTCTCTGTTTTTGTTCTGACCTTTCATATTTTTTTAAAAAAACTTCATAAACAAAAAGTTAGAAGCACTAATGTTTTTTTTTTTCTCTCTGCAGGGGAAGGAGCTATTGATCCCAATGATCCTAACAAGGAAAATACTTTAAATCAGCTTGTTAAAACAGAAATTTCTCTTTCATTGACCAAGAAATATGATTTACGAGAAGGGGAAGAACAAGACATTAAGGGCCTAATGATAAAGTATGTTTTTAAAATATGTGGTATTTAAAAGGCTTTTGTCAATGAATCATAATAATTACTAATAATTCCTTTCTGCAGTGACTGAAAAACTTTTTGCATGCTTTAACTACATGATGAGATGTTAGACCAGTGGTTCTCAACCTTTTTAATGCCACGACCCCCAACCGGTCGTAAGTCGAGAACTACTCAACCGGTCGTAAGTCGAGGCCTATTCAACTGGTGCAGCACCGTTTGCAGAATGGGACTTTTGGTGGGCTCAGCAGGGCAGAGACAGCCTGGACAATTCCTATTGGCTTTTGAAAGCCAATAGAATTAGACTCTATTCAAAAGAGTCTATTCTATTGGCTTTCAAAAGCTAATAGAATAAAAGGGAGTAGCACAGCTAAGGAAAAGGGGGAAAAAATGGAAGACTGCATTGTTTGGCGACCCCCGTGAAATGGTCGTTCGACCCCAAATGGGGTCCCGACCCATAGGTTGAGAACCACTGTGTTAGACAGTAATAAATATATGTGCCTGTATGTGTATGAAAACTTTATTTAAGCCCAATAGGCAGTAGGTTTAATACTGAGTTTTATAATCATTCTTAAAATCATAAATGCACAGTGAGACACATTTAGAAATTTTCTTAATTCCTGTCATGTTATTAAGTGCAGTGTTGAATTTGTATGATGGTATTTGGCTGCATCTCTAAATTAAAATGCTATTGGAAAGTTTGTGGAAAGAACACTGAAGTGGTTTCATGATAAGGTTACATGAAAAAGACACTGAGCAGCAGGAAATAGATTAGATTTTCAGGAAACCAGAGGAAACATCTGCCTTGGATTTGTATAGTTAGAAATATTTAAAGTACTCTTTTTTAAAAGGCACACATTCCCGTATTCTGTGGGAATATGATGAAAATTAACTTCTACTTTTTATGGTCTGCTGCCATTTAGTTCTTAGTAGAGAAGGAGTTTCACTTCATTTCTAGGTGTTGTGATTGATTTGTCTGTCTATGTTCTATCTACGTGTGGAGTGTGCTTTATAGAGTCTGGGAGCATAAATGCAGCACCTGTTAGCAATTACTACTTTTTCCTGGGATCTAAACAGCTGCACCTTGCAGCACCTGCACAATCCTGGGAAAAGATACAGTTGCCTTAAGGAATTGCAGAGGCCTAATTTGTATATGTATACACAGTATATTTCTGTATGATAATCAAGAATATAATATTGGATAAAAAAGAGTGAGCTTTTGTAATCATAGACTATGAAATAATTTCATAATGATATTTGCTGCAAAGGAAATCAGAAGATTCTATTTTTTCTTTCGTTTTGCACTTCTTTCTTTGCTGTTTTTGTTCATTATTAGTATATGTTGGTTCTTATGCTTATGTAAAACTTTTAGTTTAAAATTACTTTAAAAAAGAATATTATTTTACCATTTCACTCCAAAATTATTTGCCAGATGTAACACATGTAGGAGACAGAATTACACCCTTACTCTTAATCTAAGGTATTTCAATATGAGGCCTTTTCATTAAAACCACAGTGAACAAACTGTGCCATTCTTAAAAAGCATGAAAAGTGCAGTTCATAAACAAGTGAAGGAAAAAGCACTATAGGTGGTCCTTGAGTTACAACCACAACTGAGCCAAACACTTTGGTTGCTAAAAAAGAAAGTTATTAAGTAAGTCATACCCCAGGGAATTGTCCAGGCAGTTCCAGGAATTAATGTTCATTTGAAGGCTCATACATACTTTTCCAGAGAAGATGCTACAAAAATAAATCAACATAAAGCCACAATTATACAAGAATAGATTGGCTTATGGTAGTTTGAAAATTTATCAGTGTTGAAAGTGCTTGCCATCACTTCTAGATTTCATTTTGTAATTCTTTGCCTGGACAGGTTGCATTCCCACATGCCTTCAGAGACCCATACCTCTTTTTTTGATTATATAGTCACATTTTTCATTAGAGTTAGTGAGCTCTCCCACTAAGTATTATATAGTAATCCTCAGGGAGGATGCATACTTGTATGGGAAGACTCTATTGATATAGTGAGAATTATTTCTGAATAGATATCTATATATAAAATACTGTAGCAGTTTTTAATAACCATCTATTAATCACAATTTCTCTGGCTTTTTCATTAAGAACAAAAAGGCTAATTATTGATATAATACAAGCTCAGCCTGGGGAGTCACTTGCAAAAATTCTGGAAACACCAGCCTCTGAACTTCAGGTAACCATACCATTTTGTATGAATCTGAACATTTCAATTCTCAAATAATATTATAAAATATAAATAAGCGAATATATTCTTAAAGTAGCTATCTCCATTCTGGAGAATAATTGAATAACAAGGTATAATATGTGTTCATTGGGCCCTATTTCCAATAGATTATCACTCTTGAGTCTTTCTTCTTCTTTAGTTTAGAAGCTAGGATACTGTGATTAGTGCAGGATGGTTCCCTAGACCCAATAGCTTATCCTTCCCTAACCTGATGTCTTCCAGATATGGTGTACTATAGAACCAGTCAGCACAGTTTCAGACCCTGCTGGCTGGAAATCATGGCTAGAGTCTCTCTGATCTCAGAAAATTGGAATATCACTATTTGTTTCTCTAGCAAGAGGCTTCTCCTTTATGTGGTTGGATAGAAAAATGAAAAAAATGTTCTGAGAAAATGTCAGTAGCTGCATCAGAGTATTTATGTTTTCATGTTTTTACATGTTGCTCTTTATAATCTACAAATATCACTGTAAGAAAATAGATGTCAAAATGCTGTAGTCATTAAGATTTTGGATGAGGACTGAGAAGACTCTTAATGGAAACTTAACCATGAAAACTCACTGGATGAGTTTGAGCCAGTTATTTTCTCTCAAGCCAAATTACCTCCCAGTGTAATTTTTGTGGGATAGAATCAAGAGAAGTCCATATGTAAGTTGCTTTGAGCTCTTTAAAGAAAGATTTAGAGAGATGTATTGCTGGAGTACTATCCAATATGGAAACATTTGGAGGAGGAGGAGAAAGTATCTAGAACAGGGGTGTCAAACTGCCGGCCCGTGGACCGGATGCGTCATGCTGAAACTGCACCCACCCCATTGCTGGCAATGGGGGGAAAGTCGCAATACGTTGTGACATGTCATGTGACATTGAGAGTTTTACACCCCTGATCTAAAAGAATGGTTACAAAGGAAATGTTGAAGAGATTGGGGAGTATTAGTAAATTCTTAACCACTACGCTGGTTTCCTTACATGTTATATATCTGTCTGTTAGGAAATATTTGTGCTGTAATAATAGAAATGAAAATATCTCTTGCCTTAGGTTTGTTTTTTAATTCACTTGTTAAAATGGTTATTCTTGGTAAGGAAACCAGTGTAGTAGTTAAGAACTAAGAACTAAAGCTAGGCATTCCGGATTCAAATCTACCATCAGCCATAAGAACTCACTGGGTGATTTTTGATTAGTCATTCACAGCCCAACAAGCACACAGATATAGGTTAAAATGAGGGAAGATCTCTGTGTGAGCCACCTTAACCTCCAGAAGAAAAGGCAGGATATGAATCTAAGAAACAATATGGATAAAGCCAGTCATCTAAATATGCCACAACTCTCTGCTGCCACACTGTCTTTATTGCTGAATCTTCCTTGATGCCTGCCCAATGTTCTTGTTAGATGTATTGGTTTTGTGTAAACATGAAAAGGTAGAATATGCTATTCTTAATTATGATATGAACATATAAACTTGCTTATATAAAAGATAATAATTTTTGTCTTCCTATTAATACAATATATAGTCTTATGGGAACTGCTGTTTTTCCTTAGGAAGCTGAACACATGAAAATAATAGAGAAACGTGCAATTTTAGATTCTAAAACACCAGAGAAAATGAAACATAGTCGATCTATTCTTGAAGAAGGGCAGTTACCATTAGAACAAAAGAAAAGGAAAATCCAGAGAAACCTGCGAACATTGGAACAAGTTGGATTGGTTTCATCTGAAAACAAGTATCAAGAAATCATCAATGAAATAGCCAAGGTTGTGGAAATATTATTATATTTTTCCAACCGGTTTCTGCTTTTCATCCTGAATATAATAGGTTCATTTTGAGTAAAATAGCATGTTGTAAAGTGAAATATAAGCATTGATGAAATATTCCTAGTAACCTAAATTAAATAAATGACAGACTTGGATATCTGAATATAATATTTGTTCATGAATTTTAAATATGTAATTATATTTTATTATAAACTTATTTTGACTGCAATTTCATGCTGCAATGACTGTTAGTGAGTTATTCTCTTATTCTCTATATTTCAAAAAACAGTTGTGGTAATGACCTACGTGGTTGCAGCTTCAGTACGTTTAATTCAGTTGCCTGCATTAGAAAGATTCATACATAGTGTTCATTTTTAATATACAAGGATGGTTTTGCAATTATCATGTAGAAAGTACAATGCATTCAGTTTCTGCATAATAGCAAAATGTTCCAGTTACTTGCTTCCTAGATGCCAATATTGAATCTTGGTGTTGAATACCGGTTATGTCTAGATGAAATTAAACATTGTGTAGCATCACAATGAGCACTTTATTTGACTAAGGAGATAATTTCTTTTATTTTTATATTGTATTTCTATTACTAATAAGCCGCCTAGAGTCACTGTGAGTGAGTAAGTGGCCATATAAATTATCCTAAATAAATAAAAGAACAAGTGCTTTGCCAATATAGGTAGTCCTTGATTTACAAATAATTGTTTAGTGTTCATTTGAAGTTACAATGGCACCGAAAAAGCGACTTACAACCATTTTTCACACTTATGACTGTTGCAGCATCCCCATGGTCATGTGATCAAAACATGGACACTTGGCAATTGGCATGTGTTCATGACAGTTGCAGTGTCTCAGGGACATGTGACCTTCTGATAAGCACAGTCAATGGGGAAGCCAGATTCACTTAACAACCATGTTGCTAAGTTAACAACTGTAATGATTCACTTAACAACTGTGGCAAGAAAGGTCATAAAATGGAGCAAAACTCATTTAACAACTGTCTTGTTTAGCATCAGAAATTTTGGGGTCAATTGTGATTGTAAGTTGAGGACTATCTGTAAAAGCATAAGTAGCAATTTCCCTTCAGATTCCTATCATTCTTTTCCTGAAATCTTACTTTATTCTTGCGGCTCTCTAAGGTAGAGATTTTGTTTGCAGATTTTTAAAAATCCAGTAAGGAAATAAGTTTTTCTCTTCTGAAATGATTTTTTAGGATATCAGAAATCAAAGAAGATACAGACAACATCGAAAAGCAGAGTTGATAAAACTTCAGCAGACACTGAATGCACTCAATTCCAAGAAAGCTTTTTATGAAGATCAAATAAATTATTACAATACCTACATTAAAACATGTTTAGATAATTTGACAAGAAAGTGAGTAAAAACTTTTTATATACAAAGAAAGTACTTTCTACCTGTCATGGCAAATGTTTGCATTATTGTTACATATTATCTGTTTTATATTAAAATAAAAACTGTACTGTTTTATGTTAGAAAATAAATTACTGAAGCTTTTAAATATTTAAACAAATCTACAGATGCTACTAAGATAAACCTCTCAATCTAGGCAATGCTGAGATTATTTTTTATCATTATATGGGTGATTACATATTTTAATACAGAAGTTTGGTGCTGTGAAAAAAATTATTGAGATATTGTGAGTGTTATGAATCAAAAAGGTTTGGGAACCTCTATTGTAATGTCATTCTATAAGCTTTCAAATAAGAAACTTCATATATAAAGCAGCTGATCTTTTCTAGGAGCTGGTATTATGCAGGGATGGTCAATTTATGTCCTTTAGATCAGGAGTCCCCAATCCTGCGCTGCTGACCAACCACTGGTCCACAGCCCTCCAGGAACCAGACCGCACAAGTGAGCAAAGCCCCATCTGCGCATGTATGGGATCCAGGCAGCTCACGAAACCATGTCCCCCCCCCACCGTTTTGTGGAAAAAACACCCTCCATAAAACTGGTCCTTGGTGCCCAAAAGGTTGGGAGCCATTGATTTAGATGCAGACTCTGGGGCACGTTGCATTAATATTGATGAAATTCAATACCAAAATGGCTGATCTCTGATTGTGCCATTTTAAATAAAACAAGAAGAGAGAATGAGTATATTATGCCCTGCAAGTTAAACCAGATAAATTATGTCTTTAAGATCTCTAAACCTAAAAACAAAACATTTCTCTAACTACCCTGTGTTATGGGACACAATATTTTGCCCATAGTCCTAGGTGGGTAAAATATTATTAAAGAATATATTCCCTTCAACAGACTGAAAAAAATGCCTGTCCCTTACACACCTGAAGCACATAATTAATTATCTTTATTATTGCACGGACTTTTTTCCTGAAAATCCAGAAACAAGGTTAGGTCTTTGAATATCCAATGCCAGCTTAGTCTAGTGCAGTGGTGGCACTCGGAGCCCTCTCTGTGGGCACACACACCGTCGTCCCAGCCCCGCCTCCCCCATGGCCCTCTCCTCACCAGCAGCCCCCCCCGGAGGAGAGTCGCCCCCAGGTGCAGCCCACACAGAGCAGAGCAGCCAAGCACATGGCAGCAGGGACAAGACTTTGCCCGTGTGCCTTGTCGTGTGCAGATGCTGCAGGGCACGGGCAGAAGGTGCGGCCACCATGGCACTGCAAGGCCACTGGGCGATCTGCAGCAGGCCATGAAGGCAGCGGGTGACCCTGCGAGGTGGGGTGGGTGGAGCCAGGCACGCTGGGGGTGGAGTGGCACAGGCAGGCCAGGGGACGGGACGGTTTTTGGGCACTCGGTCTCTAAAAAGTTCGCCATCACTGGTCTAGTGGTTAAATCTATGGATTAGAAACCAGGAGACTATGAGTCAAGCCCCAATTTAGCAATGAAAGCCAGCTGGATGACTATGGGCCAGCTACTCTTTTTCAGCCCAACCTACCTCACAGGGTTGTTGTAGGGAAAATAGGAAGAAAGAGCATTAGATACCTTGAGTTGTTTATTAAAAAAAATTAAAGCAGCGAGACTTTGGGAAGATCCTAGTTCATAAAATAAAGGTGGGGGTGACAATCATCCTTTCTTATTTTGTTTTCTTTTCATTAATTTATTAACATAGGTTCCCCTTTTAACAACTTATGAGTGCCTTTGCTCCTCAAAAAAAGAGAATGCTGATATAGATGTTTTTTTGCTTGATAAACTATTAGTATTTGTATTTATTTTATCTTTGTCTTTATTAGCAAAAGGAAAACATGTTTCTTCTGTGGGTGGCCTAACATTTCTTTATCTGATTCAATTTACAGAAATTCACGAAGATCTATTAAATTAAATGGAAAGCAAGAGGAGAAAAGAAACAAACTGAAGAATATTTCACTGAAATACACGGCAGCAAGACTATATGAAAAGGGAGTTATTCTAGAAATCGATGAACTTCAGCCTAATCAGTAGGTTTTGTATGGCTGATTTATCTATTCAAATGAATTTTTTATTTTAGAATTTAAATGAGTCATTTTCACAAGTTTTTTGGTTTTAACTCAATAACATTTTAATGTGAAATATATTTCTACTTACAAATGATTATTTTTCCTCTTCATAGATTTAAGAATGTGATGTTTGAAATTACACCTGGTGAAGAAGTGGGTGACTTTGACATTAAAGCTAAATTCTTAGGTGTGGAGATGGAAAAAGTACAGCTCCATTTTCAGGTAAATTGTGTTTTTAAATCATGTGTGCTTCATTGGAGGCTTCTCTAGACTCTAGAGTGGGAATAGAAAGAAGGAACATGCATTCAGGCATCGTCACAGGTCCTATTTTGAAATATAGGACTTTACAAAGTAGTTTACTCTTATCAGAATCTTCATATCAAACAATAAAAAGGCAGAATTCCATCAGTTATTAGTTAGTTTAGTTCTTGGATTTTTGTCATGTTTATTACTAATAAACTTTGAGATAAAATATACACTGCCAAAAATTAGGAGAACTGATTAGAGCAGTGCTTTTCAACCACAGCAATGTTAAGGTATGTTGATATCAACTATCAGAATTCCTATCCATCATGATTGAGAAACTTTGGATTAGATAATTACTCTGACATAACTATTGACAATTTACATAAGTCTGTATTCACTAGTCTTTTCTTATAGAGATACTTGTGCTTTCTTGTAATGCAGAATTATAATCCTTTTTTAAAGTAGTCACAATTCAGCAATACTTTGCCACTATTTTTGGATCTTATTGGATTTGTATTTGTCATTAGGTTTGTGTCTCTTTCCCAGTGCAGGAGCACTAATCTTCCCCAAAATAAAGGAAAAAGAACAAGGAAGCAATAAACTACCATCTATTATAGCAAAAGTAAATAGTGACTGATTCATCAAACTGCTTTCAGGATAAATTTGATATAAAAGTGCATGATAGTTGCTGGCTAGTATCTCAACTTCTAGAGGGCCACATCAAGTTGTCTAAACAGAACATAATGCCTTCCTATTGGACAGGTTTCTGCTTGGCTTAATTGTATCAATTGTATAAATGGTTTTGAGACTTCTTGATTTTAATTTTCAAGATTGGATTTAGGTCCATCTAGCATTAGGAAAAGTGCTAGGGAGGGCTGTTTTCACATTTTGCTTGTCTACATGTTTGACTTATAAGCAGTGGCAATTCTGACTTCAATTTGAAAATACTTTCACTTTTCTTCCTTGCTGCAGGACTTGCTTCAAATGCAATATGAAGGTGTTTCTGTAATGAAAATGTTTGAGAAAGCTAAAGTGAATGTGAACCTCCTGATTTTTCTGCTGAACAAGAAATTCTATGGAAAATGATTCACTACATTTTGTTTCAATCAAGTTCCAGTTCTGTCTGTAGCCTAAATATTTGAATCTATTATACAACAGATCTTTCTTCAAGGCAGCCCAGAAGAAAAATTACTTGTGTGCCTTTTTCATCCTTTGATAATATAATATAATAAAATAAGAATCTACGAATCAGCTTAAAACACTTCCTGATTTCTGTGGTGTTGGTATTCAATTAAAGATAAGATCAAGTGACATCCAAACGTATGTCTGATTTTAAAAATATGGACATTTGAACAGCATATATAGAAATCTTACCTCAGTAAAATTATATACTTGTAAATCAATATCAAGTACAGTTTTCCTTATTCATAGGAAAAACAATTTCTAATATGAACCTCTAAAGAATAGCTTTGGCAAATATTTCTTAAGTGCTATTTTTCCAGAAGCCTGTCAATTGTAAAGTGAATTATTGTACAATTTAAAGTTTTATAAGTAATAATGAATTTAACATTTACTGTATAAAATATATATTTTGCAATTCATTCCTATTAAAAATGCACTACTGCCTCAGTAAAATCTATACACAGCCTTTTAATATAAGTGTAAAGAAGTAATTGGAATAGTGATCTGTTTTTTGCAGTGTATCTGAGGTATTTTAAATAAATTGTGCCTGTCTTTTTTGTAAGAAAACAAAAAATTCACAAATAAAATGCAATAAATCTTAATCTGGTTAATTTTTAATTTTCTTTCAATAAGCGTACTTCTTTTATATCTAATTGGGAAGACTCAGTAACTATGAAGTTACTGTGCCCACTTATGGAAACAAAGAGTTTCTCACTCCATTTCCAATAACGGACTATTCATTTCAAATTTTGCAATGGCTTTGATAGAACATGGGTTGACCACAAAATCAAGACTATAGCCCAGATTTTCCGTAACTATATCAAGTTAAAAGGTAAACAGTGATAAAAAAACTAGAAAAGGCTCAAAAAAAGAATAAAAGTAAATGTGCTGAGTTCCAACTTTTTTGATTCAGATATAGTTACATATGATGTAGATATATATAGAATGTCATACTTCTCCTCTCCTGCCCTGTGTGAGCTGCCTTTGCTTCAACTCCCCCTATCTCCCCATCATCTCTGCCTCTTGGCCACCCTGAATAGCATGGCTGAGATGAAAAGGCTGCTGTCACTTCCTCCCTCACTACCTCCAGCTGACTGCTTTCCTTGTCTCATCTTCCCTCTTTTGGGCTCGCCTTTGCCTTCCTGGCCACTAGGCTCCTGGCAGGCCTGCCCCATTGCAATAATCTCAGCCTGTCCCCAGCAATGGGTCATGCATGCATGATCACCACCAACCATCACCACCACCAGCATTGGCGAGCCCAACAGAAAAGAGACAAGATGAAGAAAATGAAGGTCAGCTGGAGACAACACCAAGTAGGTGGTGGTGGAATATAGCAACCTCATTTTGGCTATGCTGTTCAAGGCAGCCAAAAGGCAGAGACAGAGGGGGAGATAGGTGGTGGCAGGAAGTAACGTGGAGGCAGTTTGCACAAGGCAGGAAAATGTGACTTAAGATCGCTGCAGTGATAATAAATATAGCCCAGTCACCAAGTGCCCAAATTTTGATCAGGTGACCCAGGGATGCTTCATTGGTCATAAGTGCAATGACTGGTCATAAGTCTATTTTTTTCAGTGCCATCATAACTATGAATAGTCATTGAACAAGTGGTCATTGTATTACTAATGGTTTTATTTTGAATTCAGTAAAGGAAAGCTTCAAAGTTCAGAGTTTCTGAGAACAATAAAGAGAAAAGATAATAAGCCTTTTGTTCTGACACCATTTGTAGGTTTTTGGAGATATCAAGTTGACCACTGGGAAACCAAAGGTTTTGATTACACATTACCCTAAAATTTAAAAACTATTTTACATCCATTATAAACAGTCCATGGGAATGTTGGCAAATCTATAGCAAATCCATTGAAATGTTGGTGGAACTTAGAAATGAAAGAGCCAAAGTTACATTTTAATTATATACACTTATATTATTTTATTTACTTATATTTGTTTAACTGTCCATGTCCCATGAAAGTGTCTGAGTGGTGTAGAACACTAAATTAAAAAAGAATACTTTAAAAACAGTCACAATTTAAAAAATAATTATATATAAACACACAGGAGAGAATATTAATCCCAATAAGGGTGTCAGAAGTAAGTCTTCATCCTGGTTCATCCAAGCAACATGGCAACTGCTTTGGGAAGAAGGTTACAGTTTATTGAAGAAGCAGGAAGATGGTCCTTGCAAGAAAGAACAGAGGAGAGGAAAGAGGAGTTGAGCACATGGGCAGTAGGTTATTATATCCCCTCTAGCCTTGTTTCGAATAGTTTCCTGTTCCTGTGGCATGAACCTTGAGGCTATTTCTGAGTGTTTGTCTAGGACTTGATATCTTTAATCCTATTATCATATCCTGCTTCCCAGATGATGGGGCTAATGACTCCTAGAGTTTGGGTGGGGCATGCAGATTTTCTCTTTGTCTTGATTGCTCTGGCTTCAACTTTCTGATAGTTTTACATCTGCATTTGTATGGGGCTAGCTTTTGCTTGGGTCAGAGAGATAGATTTGGGGCCAGGTTTGGTTTTAAAAAAGTCATTTTGAGGAAAAATGTATTTTTCTGCCCTTTTAATATTTCCTTCTCTGGGCTAGCTTCCCTCAATCCCCGCTTTGTGCCTTAAGTGTGAGAATGTCACACTTATTGGCACAACATTAAAATTGATCTGATCAGGGAGACTTGATAGGCAAGCTTTTAAACTGTTAAGCCAGAAAAATAAGACATTAATGGAGGCAGCAGAAAAAGATCCCTTTAGTGGCTCCCAAAAGGGGAGCTTGCACCCATAAAGTTCTAAAAGTCAGGGCAAAAATTTTGTTACGTGGAAAAGAAATTTATAGGTCCAATATTCTGTGCCAATCATTTTCAAATGTTGGATGTCACTTTTAGCTTCCAGTCAGGTTTGCATACCTCCCAAAATTCTTCACAGCCACAGTTTTCCTTAGTACATGACCACTGGCTGCCCATTTTCAAGGGTTGTTTCCTGCCTTAGCTCTTAGTTCAGTGCATCCAGGTTTGTAATGTCCAATTGAGATTAGCCAGTATGCCAGGCTATTAAATTTTTCTCTAAATTGCACATAATGAGCTCTGGGAATCCCAATCTGAGCACAACAGTGCAAGATATTCAGGGCTAAGATTTGGGATCTCTTTCCTGTTGTTTCCTTAGTCAGGGCATAAGAATTGCAAATCACCTGAGGGGGCAGAGTTCCCTCCCCCTTGGAATCTGTTGGAAGGTGTTCCTAAGCTTTGGTGCAATAGAGCAAAAATAAGCCTGGGGAATTTTACTAAAGGTAGGTGGAGGGGATAGACTCAATGTGATTCTGAATGGTGTGTGTGTGTGCATGTATGTGCAGCTACTTTTACAAAATAGGCAATACAAACATTCTGGATAAATTTTCTCTCCCACCAGATAGAAGTCCAAGGTGTTCAGTACTTGTTCTGCCAACTATTCCCAAATGCCATCTCTCCATTAATACATTCAACTGGCTTGTTACAATACAAATGGGGCAAGAAAGGAAAGTTTACAATGAGTTTCCACCCTCCCCCCACAGTCTAATTTTCTCTTCTGAGGCTTCACATGGCACCAGTGGCTCCAGGACTCCTTCCTTCTGCAGCTCTCACAGGCATATGGGGAATGGTAGGACTTGGGAAGATGTTCCACTCAGATTGCATTGTGGCTTTTTAGTGGATGGCTGGATTCAAAACCCAATTCCATGGCTCAAATGGATGGAGGCAGCATCTGGGTCTGTGTGTTCTGCTTCCAAAAGTTTGGGGGAGGATTGCAGGGCTGAAATATACAAGAACAAGGTCTCCCTCCCCCCCTTTCTGGGTGGACTCTTCCAGGAGAGGCAGACAAAAGGTATGGAGAACAAAGGGCAAGAAAAGAATTGGAAGGGTGGCGTAGCTTGCAGGCAGTTTGAAAAGGTATTAATACTGCAGTTATTAAAGAAACAGACAAATGGGGAACAACAAAATGAAATGTTTCACCTTTGAACTTGACCATTTGCAACATATTAAGGACAAGAACTTGCAACTTGAAAGAAAAAAAATGCTAGGCAGCTTGAGAATGCTGAAAACTCCAAATAATTTTAAAAGCCTAATATTTTAAGATGTGCAACTTGTCAAGGGCAGGAGGATCTGCCTTTAACATTTATTCTAAAATAGATCACATTATTTTAGAGATTGGAAAATGCTTATGTTTCAGAAAGCTTCACAGTAGTTTCACTAGTAAGTAATAGGATAAGAAAAGTAACTTAAGAAAATTATTTCCTCACACAAGCAGACTTGAGTTTCAAAAGGCTCTTGTAGATAGACACACATTTTTCAGGAAAAGGATAGATAGATAAAACCCATTTATAACACAAATTCATTTACAACATATTGCAGAATGATTTTCCAGAGCTTGGGGCAGGACCCAGCAGACAAGACACCCCCTCCTCACTCCAAAGAGGAAATATCTTGGCAAATACAAGGAGGACTGGAGGAATATTTAAACAAGGGACAGTAAGTTAATTGATACAGAACATCCCTGTCCCTGGCAATCAAAAATTACAGGATTAGCAGTGCAAGTAACATAGATTTGTGTGGACAAGAATATCAACCTTGCTATCAAGCAAAATCAAGCTTTTAATGGTGAGTGTCACACAAAGTGGATTAACGCATAGGTGTCAGTCATAAAGAATGAGGGCAAATATGATATAGTTGTCATTATAGAAACATGGTGGGATAAAACCCACAAATGGAACACTCAGCTAGACGGATTTCAATTGTTTAAAAGAAACAGACCAAATAAAAGGTGAGACAGAGCTTCTTTCTCTATATAAGAAATAACTACATATCTACAGAATTAGGGCACAACAATGATGGAAACTGTCTTGAATGCATTTGGATCAGTATAAAAGGTGGAAAGAGGGGCACATAGCTACAGCAGAATATTAGCAAATAGTCTGAGCCTGCAATGATGAGGTGAAGAAAGATAAGGCTCAAAATGAACTAAGGCTTGTGACCACAGTCAAAAATAATAAAAAAGCAAACAGTCCAACTTATCAAAAACAGTACCATAAAAAATAGATTAGAAACACAAGTTAAGTTAGGCAAGAAAATGGTAAGTGAGCACTTATCTAGCCTAGAAGAGTTCAAATCACCAAGACCAGATGGATTACACCCCAAAGTTCTCAAGGAACTGGCAGATGTGATCTCAGAACCACTGAACCATATTTTTCAAAGACCCTGGAGCACTAGGGAGCTACCAGAGGACTGGAAAAGAGCTGATGTAGTTCCCCTCTTCAAAAATAAAAATAGATCTAGGAAACAACAGACCTATCAACCTGACCTCAATACCTGAGAAGATTCTGGAAAAGATAATCAAACAAGAATCTGCAAACACCTAGAGGCAAACAAAGTCATTACTAAAAGCCAACATGGGTTTGTCAAAAATAGATCACGCTAGACACATCTTACTGCATTATTTGACCCAGTTACAAAATGAGTGGACTAGAGGAATGCTGTGGATATAATTTTCTTGGACTTCAGTAAGGCATTTGATAAAGTTTGTATAGGGTTTCCTGCCTGAGCAGGAGGTTGGACTAGATGACCTCCAAGGTCCCTTCCAACTTTATTATATATTA